GGGGGGCGGCCCTGGTCGTGAACCCTCGTGCGCCCTCTAAACAACAGTAAATGACGACCGTCGTCCTGAACGACGAAAGGAGATCAGAGTGAACGGCACCCCGTTCGCGGGCGAATAGTGGGGATCAGACCTCTTGATAGGAGGATGAACGGGTAGTCACGTTCAGAGGGTGAACGACGGTGAACGGCAGCTCAAAGTCGTTCGCGCTTTTCAACGAGACACTACTGTATGTACTATGTAGGGTACCACCAGCAGCTGCGGGGGAGACAGAGCGGCCTAGGCAGCCAGCAGGCACCTCCATATAATCTCTAGGCATCAGCATTCTAAAATATGTATATGCCCCCCCTGCTCACTATGGACATTCTATGCTGCAATGCCTCCTATACAGTGGTAAGCTCGAACCAAACAAATAGTAAGATCGAGCTTGCCCAAAAGGGAAATTTGACGCGACAATCCAGGCACGCACTTGTCCCGCCTCATCAGCCACTGCGGTGCTGACGTTGAACGAGACATTCTTCGGTATAACTCACGCATCTGTGCATGCATGCGTCCAATTTATGGGAATGATATGTATCATGTCGTCAGCTACTCAATGCATCAAGAATGAACGCTCTACGAGGAGTATGAAGCGATATGAATATGCCATCGCTTGATCCGCTCTTTCCGACACTTTTTCGTGGGCTCAGGTGATTTGGTCACGAGGCTTCCCATGCTCCATATCCTCCTGCTCGTTCCCAGACAAAATCTCATCTGTTTCACCAATTCATCTCTCATCCATCCATCCACCTTATTTCGTACCAATCTTGCTTTCAGATTGCTTGATACATCCCACACCTCTACACTCAGCCCACCCCCTCCCTGCACCCCTGATCACACTCTCCAGAAACCAAAAACAGTCTTCTTCCATCAGTCAAAATGACTGCCTGTATCGTTGTCTCCGTGGCCTCTTTTGTCTCTGTCATCGACGTGAAGCCCAACGTGTGCGTACTCTTATCAGCGGTCCATCCCGCAAGCTCGGTAGACCGGGAGGCTGACGACTTTCTCCTCACAGCAGCATCCCCGCTGCATTTACCAAAATCTACCAGGGTGGCAAGTCTGTCACAAAGTCCAAGGGCAAAAAGACTTCCTCTGCCTCAAAACAGTGAGTTGTTCACACTCAACAAACTCGTCGCTGACTCGCCACCAGCTTCATTCACCACCATGCCGTCAAGGATTTTCGAACCTCTATCCCCGCTCCCGCCTACAAGGCTCACCACTACAAGGGGTCTACCAAGGTGACCGTCACCGCAGTCTCCCAAAAGTGGGCTGCCGGTCATGGCCACGGCACCACCAAGGTGCTCCTCTACCGCACCCCAGCGGAAGAGGTGTAAGTAATTCTCTCTTCATCTGATGCTGTACTGACTTCTCATCCAGTAATCTCTCCCCCACCTCAACCTCTACCGGCCCCAAGGCCAACTACAAGGGTACCCACCTTGGTGGTACCCGCGTCTGTCTCACCCCCACCCAGTGCGCTACCTCTCACCTCGGCGGTACCAAGGTCCGCCTCTCCCTTGCTCCCATTTCTGGAGCCTGCCCCCCAGCCATCTCCCAGGTGTAAGTAGACCTTCGCAAGCTATCAAGGAACTTGCTGATTCTCTTCGATAGGGTGCCAACCATTTTCTTCGCCCCTCCCGCTCCTCCCGCGACCGTTGACTGGACCGCCAGCCACCTCGGCGGTACCAAGGTGCTGCTTCAGCGCCCAGGCCCACCCATGGTCAAGGCCGAGGATAAGATGGAAGAGAAGCCCTTCGCCCATGCTACACAGGCTCCCAAGCGATGGGCTGCGTCCCACGTCGGCGGTTCCAGGCTTCGCCTCTCCCGCACTGCTCTTTGAGCAGTCCGATGGACATTCTTCTTTCAATGGACAATTTCTTTCTCTTTCATCTTGAATCATTGTAGATATAGACATTCATAGCATGGAGGATAATAGTAGACAAGCATAATAGGCATAGCAGCCATGATATAGACGTGGTTAATGATGAGCATGTATATAGCTTACAAAGATCGTGAATTAATTCCTACTGCCGTATATGCAGGCTCTAGATGATAGATCGCTCCAGTCCACCAGCTCCAGCCTAGTGCTCTAGCCATCCCGGACCTTGCAGACAGGGGGCATGCGCGAACAGCAGCACCGAGACCAAAGCCAGGCTACAGCCAGGTCACCAAGCAACTAACTACCTTGGACTACTCCTTCCCCTCTCTCCATCGACCGCATGTAGCAAGTACAGCTCTCAACCTCCACTATCTCACCAAAACACTCCTGATTTTCTTCCTCTGCCCCCTCTCCACCTCCCCCAGAACCTCCTCCCCAGTAAACATCAAAACCTGATACTGCGCATGCCTCGACAATGTCCCCAAATTTACCCTGAAATGGTTCAACGTCTTTACCGACTGGCCCGGCGCTGTCGGGTCCGAGCCAGGTTTAGATGATTTGGGAGGTTTGTGAGATTTGGATAGATGGGGAAAGGGACGTTTCTTGCGGACCCAGCCCGAGGGCGTCCGTTCTTCGTCATCCTCCAAAGCAGGTTCTGTCGTCGAACCGCCTCTCAGCGGCGCACTTCCTTCCACCTGACTACCATCATGAGATCCTTCCCTCGCCGTACTATAATCAATCCCAGCAAAACCATCAGTGTAAGGCGGCGAAAAGTCGCGCGATTCGTGGGTACGTTCGAATTTCGAGTGGGAGGAGGAGGAGGATCTGTGGCGGATGCGCTCGGCGGAGGTAGTGGGGTTGGCTGGGGCGGTGGGATTTGGAGGGGGTCTTGGGGGAATGGGGAAGGAGGTGGGTTCGGGAAGGTTGGAGAGGGCGTGGGATCGGATGGCTTTGGGGACGGTTCTATTGTGATGTTAGGGATGGGTCGATTTGAGGAAGAGGAGGACTTACTTGCCAGGGTCGAAGAGTAGCAAGTTGATATCGCCTCGCGCATTCTCCTCGTATCCCACTATGGTTCTCGAATGGCCAGAGTGCTGTGACCTAAAGTCAGAAAGGCATCGGACTAGAAGGGCCTTGGGCATACCTGGAGTATCAGTGGAAACTTGTCCGATATTCTGACGAGCTCTCCTCGACCTTGGCCGTTCTCGCCAGATCTCATGAGGGTATCGAAAGCATTACGGCCTGCTTGCCGAGCTTGTGTTCCTTCAGCATCATCCTGCATAGCTGTCAGCGAGCCATTTCTCAGAGAAGTCATGGTACTTACAAAGTAGCTTTTCACCCACTGCTGCAGTCTGGTATGAGCCTCCCGATCTGTCTTCAGATTTAGTGCCTTTGGAAAGTCGTCTGAGAGGCGTCAGTCAGAATCAAGAAGAGCAGTGTTTGCTCACAGATCCGGCAAGGAATCCCCTTGTAGCTCAACATGGCATACATATCCGACGGTCCAATCCACTTCCTCCGACCAAGCACTCGTCCGCCCAACTGCTGCTGTCCCTCCAGGTCATACCCCTCTGCCCAAGCTTCTTCTATCCAGCCCTGAATCCTCCGTACACCCGGGTCTGCCCCATTCTTTGCGCTATCAAAAACAGCGGCATATCCTGGGACAGACAGGAGGGACGTAAGAGCCATGAGGCAATTGCGATAACCGCATCCCCAGCCGAGGTCAAATTTCCAGACGCCTTTGATATGTGCCGTCGAAGGTCGAGCGAGTACGGCACGGCGGGTCGTCTTTTGGTGTACTGCTGTTCGTAGGGTTGAGGCTAGCAAGGGGATGAGGTTGGGGGAGTAATTTGGGGGGATGGAGGAAGGATCACTGGGGACGTTGGGATTCCACCTACGTTCGGTCAGCTTTCGTCACCAAGGCTGGATATGCATTTACCATCGGTCACCCTTATCAGCATTCCTCCCCGCCCAGTCCATCCATTTACCCGGTTTGGCAGGCCCGTCCCACTCTGGATCCACTATCTCCTCGTCCCTCTTCTGTTGCGCCACGAGTCCAGCCGAATAGTCAAAGTCGATATCGTCCTCGTCTTGAGGGGGCAGTGCTCCGGCATCTCCGAGGCAGGTGTTGATATGTGACTCTGATTCGATGGAAGTGAGGAAGGAGAGGGGAAAGTCGCATATTGGACAAGCGTCTGGACGTGGTGCCGAGGTTGAGGACTCTCCTGAGGGGTTGTCGAAGTGCGAGTTGACGTGGTGTTCCAAGGCGGCCTGGTCTGGGTTGACTGTCTGATCACAGACTGGACAGGACGACATGATGTCCTTCTATACCCTGTAGCCTGAAGTCGAGCAGTCATAAATCACATTGGATCGTTCGGCTGGCCGCACGTGTCCGCGGACATATGGACACCGCGTCCGGACAGTCTCCCTGTCCAATGGCATTTCGGACGACTTTATTTTGCATCTCTTTCCTCTCGAAGCCACAAAATCTCCCCCATGTCCGACAACAGGCAAGAATCAGAACAGGATCTCCAGGACAGCCTCGGCGTGCGTACATCCCCTCCTGCAACCCCATCGCTGACATCTCCCAGTCCGCCCTCGAGACCTCCTTCTCCATCCCCCCTCCTCCTCCCAAGCCTGCTGCCCCCGCCGCCTCTGAGGTCAAGGAAGAGCCTGCCGCCGCTGCGCCTTCCGAGCCCATTCCTGGTATGGCCGAGTGGCCCGAGACATATCAGGGCTACCTCGACGAATGGCACGCCGAGTCTGCTATCGCCCGAGCCAAGGCTCAGGAGACGCACGACAGGATCGAAGCTGAGCGATTAGCCGAGCAAAAGGCCGAGGAGGACAAGAAGAAGGCCGCCAAGAAGGCGGCGCAGGATGAGGAGAAGAAGAAGAAGGACGCTGAAAAGTTGAAGGCCGAGTTGGAAGAGGAGGAGAAGAAGGAGACTGAGAAGGATGTGAGGGGCCATGGAAAGGTCAAGGAGGCCTGGGAGCTGGTGGGCAAGAAGGACGATGGGAGGGATTACGGACCCTTTGCCGAGCCGCTCGACAGGCAAGATGCCCTTGCTGCGCAGGCCATCTCTGAGGCCCAAGAGAGACACGAGATCAAGCCTGTGAGTAGATTAGGATTGCCCAAGTATCATGAACTGACTCTATTACTTTAGGCTGCTTACGACCCCACAACGTCTACCGACCCCATCCCTCCCGCCATGCAAGACCCTAAACCCGTCACCCCCGCCCCCGTGCCCACAGAGTCTGCCACTCTCTCCCGACACTCTGCTACTTCCCAAGCCTGGGAAGAGGTCTCCCGCCAGTCCGACTCTGGCAGCGGAGAGCAAGTCTCTGCTCCTCAATCCTCTGGCTCTGACGACATCATCCAAATCCCCTCCCCCGAAAAAGCGGCCGAGGCCGGCGTACCCCTTCCTCCCACCCAACCCCCCTCCCTCACCCTTTCCGTCTTCACCAACTCTGCTTCCCTGTCAGTATCCAAGATCTTTGCCGTCATCGGTATCAATCTTGTCCTGCCGTTTATCAACGGCGTCATGCTCGGGTTTGGTGAGATCTTTGCGCGGGAGGTGTTGAAGGTCGGCAAGGAGGTTTGGAGAGGCGAGAGGGGTATCTTTGGTGGTCGACGGGGGACTGGTGGACGAGGAACCAGTGGTGTCGGATTGAGCGGTGGTTTCTAGATTCAACAATGCATATACAACGTGCCCGCATAGCTCTCAAATCATGACCGTCTATACATCATGTCCGCGCAGCCAGCTTCCCGACCAGCCAATCCATCCCTTCAAACAGCCCCAGACCTGTGAGAGCACTGCATCCCATGATTTGCCACTCTCGTTCTCTCAGATCCGTCAAGCCGAGGGCTTCTGAAACTTGGGCGGGTGTGAGACGGCCTTGGGCTACAGGCAGGTCTTGCTTGTTGGCCAGGACCAGCAGCAGCGCCGTTGATAATGACTACGCCTCACATCAGCACCACTCAATCAGTATTGACTCAACCACTCACCTCGTCTGCAACAATCTTCATCAACTCTTGCTTCACCACCCCCAACCGCGCCGAATCGCTCGAATCAATGACCAATATAACTGCCTCCGCCCCCTGGAAATACTGGCTCCAAGACCCCCTCAAACTAGTCTGCCCTCCGATATCGATAAGCCCGAAGCGCACGCCTTTGTAGTCGTAGATCTCGTGGTTGGACCCGACGGTGGGGGCGCTGGCGACGACGGAGCCCATGGTGATGCGGTAGAGGATGGTGGATTTGCCAGCGTTGTCGAGGCCGAGGATGAGGACTTTGGTCTCCTTTTTGGCGAAGAGCTGGGACCAGAGGGAGGAGAATGTGACTGGGGATATTGATTAGTATGGCTGGACAGTGGGAAGTGGAAGGAGAGAGCTTACCTCCCATGGTGAGGGTGTGGAAGTGGGAAGGTTTGTTGGGTGTAGGACTGTACGGAAGTACAGACTGCGTGGGGGTATCTGGGCGATATGTGAAGAATGGGAGATTATGTACAGAAGCAACAACAAAAGGCGGACGTCAGAAGATGTTGCAGATGAGCGCAAGCGATCAAGGCGCGTCGCGTCGGGAATTTCGAATGCGAATCTCTTTCTTTCATGTTGCATTCGACAGACTCGACCTCGATGCCAACCTGATGTGGTATACATGTCCAGGGAGACTATACTACTCACTCGCACTCGCCTCCCTGGTCTTCCGTCTGCGACTCTAGCAGACTATAGCCTATCGTCGCTCCTCCTCTCCTGGCATGGTCATCGACAGGCAGCCTTGCGTATCCAGGTAGAAAAGCTGGTACTTTCCATATAAGGCGGCCACCAACCTGACACAGCGGAGTGCGGGTGCTGATCCAATCTGCCGGATATATCGCGTCTGAGATCAGAGGAGCAAGCTTGGCTTTACAAGATCAATCATCATCCTTTGTCGTCCACATCTCACACCTACCCATTCGTGACCGAAATTTCATTACAGTGTCTCCAACTTGCTCGATGCATTCCTTTGCCTAGTGCCCCTGATTCGGGCATGGGCATAGCCCGAATACTCTGCAACGCCAGTAATATTCCATTCATTGTGGGAACGCGGCGAAACAAAGAAATCGCCACCACGCATCTGAGCCTGAGTGGAGTGTCTATTATCGGTGGCCCCTGTTCAATTCACCCCTATCTATAGGGATCAGTCGCCACCTGCTGCCACTTTCTTTTTCTCATATCAATTCAATTCACCTTTGCCCGGTTGCAGAGACGACAGAACAAGTACACCCCTTATATTATAACACCCAGCAAATAAATCATAGCCGACAAACATGTTGCTCAACACTCAAATGGCTCTCTTCCTTACAGGCGTCTTGGTCCCCATCACCGCTATAGCAGCCCCAGGCCCTCCAGTCCTCGACACAGCCGTGGTAGCCTCCATAGGCTCCAAATACGCCAAACCCACCCAGAACCCAGCGGCCGCCATTATCGGCATCGATACTTGGCAGGTCCTCAACTCTCAAGATGCCAATGAGGGGTCAGGAGAAGGCCAGAAGCGGTCTTATGGCGTATCGGGTCCAGGATCGGTCAGGTTTGCGTTCAATGAGACGAACAAGTATACTGCGGAGACGTTCCGAATCAGTTACTATTCTGTTGGCCCTTCGCCTACTGGAGCTATGGGGGCAAAGATCAACCCCAGTGTCTGGGTATCTGCGACTTCTACGGAGAAGCCTACCAGTATCATTCAGGTAAGCTGGTTCCGTCGATCATGAGGTCGAGTCAAGTTTGGGGCTGACGAGAATGGGAAGTGCGTGGCCACGGCCACAGCAAGCATGACTGGGGATGTATATGTATACCCATCTCCTGATATCCCTACTACTTCTAAACAGATGATTGAAGTCAAGTGTACTGGCGTTTGATGAGGGAACACTCCTTCAACATCTGTCCTGACGACGAGTAGATTATAACGAGGAGTACCAGTAGTAGTTGTGAATTTTGTAACATGTAAATATGTGATCACCTTTATCATGCTCTAAATTCAGCTCCAATTCACGACTAGCTGTCTCAGCTTACTGCATGTGGCCATTATCGGCTGGACTACAAGAGTCTATCGTTCAACTAGCCGCCGGCGGCCGCCGCAGGGTTGCTGTATTACGTACTCTGGACCGGACGCGTTTATTTGCTCGACGCGAACATTACAAACTTCGTTGTTACAAACCCAGCGTTACCTGAACAGCGGCAAGACCCGGCAACACGCACTCGGCTGACCATGCAGGTGTTCGTCAAGACCCTCACAGGAAAGACGATCACCCTGGACGTGGAGTCGTCCGACACTATCGACAACGTCAAGTCCAAGATCCAGGACAAGGAGGGCATCCCTCCCGACCAGCAGCGGTTGATCTTTGCTGGAAAACAGCTCGAGGATGGGCGGACTCTGGCGGACTACAACATACAGAAGGAGTCGACTCTTCATCTGGTATTGAGACTAAGAGGTGGCATGAGAGTGGGGGTTGACATGTGAGTTGCTCTTTGGTCCCTTTGGGCGAGCGCTGTGATCGTCTGCTTATGTTGCATTACAAGTCTGGTGGGCAACTCGGCAGCGACTACTCTGGTCCAGGTCAAAACTAATTTCGACGATGAAGAGGTTGGCAAAACCGCGTGCGCGACATATGGCAGAGCTGATACACCTCTAGTTCCACCATATGCTCAACCTCGCCTCTCTGGGCAAATCTTTCAATCCGGAGCAATTCTCTTTCGAATTCAATCTCAAGCCTCGTGATGATTTAATCACCTTGAAGACTCCGCCGCCCTCAGCTCCTCTTCAGGCCAGCCGGCAGCCGAGATTAGCTACTCCTTCGCAACCTCCCCCGCCTGCACCAGTGACTAGAAATGCTGTTGCTGGTCCTTCATGGCGGACAGATCAGGATGCGGAGAAGAGTCCTGAGAACCCCCTTCCTGTTCAACAGCCACCTGTACCCCCTCCTGTGGTTTCATCAGCTGCGACCTTACCTCTGTCACAGACCGCGGTCTCGGGCCCTTTCGCCACATCTCAGCAGGCAGCGGAGCAATCCGTCCAAGATGTTGCCACAGCCCCTTCAGTATCTCAGCCAAAATCTCAATTGCCTACATCTTCGAAGCGCACCTCTAGTCCAGACAAGGCGGCTTCGACCGAGGTCTCGCGACAAGGCCAGTCTCCGCCGACATCTATACCCGCAGCTCCAGAGGCCGCTGGTAGCTCGACGCAGCATTTCCGTTGCGGTAGCGAACTTGGCTTCGCTATGGAGCTGACACCCGATTCCAATGATGACGAGGATCCGTTCCAGATGTCTTCAGCAGAGACGAGACCGACGGCGCCGTCGTCTTCAGCCCAGCCTCAACCCGAGAAGCCGGAACAAACACCATCCCGTCCTCCGACCAATCCTTCCACGACCAGACCTCAGTGGGCAACGGTGCCGTCAGATAACGTCTCAATCCCTCCGGCTCAGAGTGCTCCTGTTATTGCCCCCACAAATTCTCTGCCGTCCGCATCTGCGCCTGCGCAAGACGACGGCGAAGACTCTGGCCAGGACATATTGGCTCTCTACGCCCAGTCAGAGCAAGGGGACGAGTTGCAAGACGACGCAAGCTCTGGAGGAGAGACAGCGACTCAGCAGACGGTCCAGGGAACGGTCAAGGACGAGCTTCGGTCGAGTCCGGTGGGACGGTTGGTTGAGGCGCCTGCAGAGGCCGGGCCATCGTCAGTGAACAGGACAGACGCATCGACCAGTATGGCCGAGAAAAGCCTCCCGGAGATCATGCCGATCATCATCACCGATAGGCAAGTCCCGTCTGCAACATCCCAATACCCACTGACTTTACACAGTGAGACTAAACAGACTTTGACCCTCCAGGTCCCACGCTCCAATACGATTCTTCAGCTCAAGCACGAGATTTACAGAAACTTCCCCTACCGACCCGTCTATCAGCGACTGTGGAATCTGGAAGCGGGGGAGGTGTTTGATGATGATGAGATAGTGGGGAACTGTGAGCTTGAAGATGGAGGCCGGATGCAGTTGCTGTTCAGGCCTCTGAATTTCAGGGTGCAAGAGTGAGTGCCCAGACAATACAAGGCATGCGACTCACAAGTAAAAAGTGGAGAGCGTTCTCTCCCAATGCGATTCCTCAAACCGACCATCACTATCAAAAGACTCATGAGCATGTTGATGATCACCGACAGGGTCGACTTTGGACAGGGCGGGCTCGTCATCGACGACGACGAAGTGCTGGATAAGGACCTGACCCTAATGCAATGTGGGATCGAGGATATGGCCGTGTTGAAGGTCTTGAAGATTGAGAAGCGTCCAAGTCAAGGTCATTTCCCTAAACAGGTCACAGTCCTCGAGTGAGTCTCTTCACTTTGCCCTAGCTATTCTGACGAAGATTGTAGCAGTGCGAATGGACGCAAAGTATCGATCCCCAATACTTCCTTATTCACCACCGTCGCCGCTATCCGAAACAAGAGCCTTTCCATGCTCAATTCGACCAACAGTTTGACCCTGCAGATTGTCTACAAGGGAAGGGTGCTCGACGGCAAGACGCCGATCACGGATCTTGCACTCGAGCCGGATGATGTGTTGCAGCTGGTTTATGATGGGCCAATCACATTCGAGGTCAAGAAGTGCGTATCGGAGCCTTGGGTCTCTGCCAGTAGCTGACGACACGTTTAGCATTGCAGACAATCCCTCTCCCTATACCGCAATTGCCTCTCTTCGCCGGACAGATTCAATTGATGTCCTCAAGGATCATCTGTACGAGCTCTTCAAGATCCCCGTCAGTGACCAGAAGCTCTGGATAAACGCTCGTCCCGTGCCAGATGATCATCTCATCTTGGACAATCTCAATCTGTCAGAGCAGAAAAAGCTGGTAGTCGGGAGCAAGACGCATTCGCCAATCTTGTGCAAAACGTGAGCAAATTCCAGATAGCTGGGAAAATTGGCTGACCACGATGATAGGTCGAATGGTGATATGCCATTGTTCGTGTCGTTCAATGACAAGGTCGGGTCTTTGAGAAGTGTCCTTCGTCATCACAAACGGGTGGATTTCTCTACCCATGACCTCGTGTACAATGGAGTGGTCCTCAGTGACGACTCGCGTACGCTAGGGTCGTACGGGGTTGACGCCAAGCATCCTGTATGTGCTGAGAAGAAGCAGGCGAGCGAGCCTGTACAGAGTCCTGCCCAGGGGCCCGTTCAAGAGCCAGTTGAACAACAGACGGCGCAGGAGGAGGCCAGTCTTACAATATCTATCCGAAAGTGGGTGTGACGAAATCAGTGATAGCGCGGGCTGACATAAAGCTGTAGTCTTATGGGCGAGTACCGTGAATATAAAGTAAAACCATCAATGGGCGTCAACGACCTCAAAATTGCCATCGAAGCTAGAGAGAATGTGGCTGTCGGCTTCCAACGCTTGATGCGGCAGAATGTGGAGATCAAGGAAGGGACCTTGAAGGATTGCGGGATAGTAGACGGGGATAAGGTCGTTGTGGTGCGGCGCCTGAAAGCACGGGAAAGTGAGAGCCGTCCCTCGCCTGAGGGGTCGAGTAGTCCGAGTAAAAGGCCGCGGATAGAATGAGGGGACATCTCGCGTGCGTTGTATATATTATCGTATCTTTTCAATTCCTTATCACTGTGAGTATGAGGACTATGAATAATCGAATGGGGTTGAATGTAAGAGGACATGAGCGCAAAGCCCCCCGAGACTCGTTACAAAAATCACGTGGCTCGTAACGCCGAAATTTTCCGCCTGCACCAGCGATTTTCAAGACCACCTTAACTCATTGCACCGAAAACCTCCAAACGGCATCCAACAAGACCTCTGCTCGGCTCAGCGGCACCCCCGGTACTCAGCAACCCAGCAACAACAAAATACAATATGAGCGGACGAGGAGGATTCTCTAGGGGCGGTGGTGGTGGTGGATTCAGCAGGGGCGGTGGTGGTGGTCGAGGTGCGTTCGAGTTTAATTTGAGGCGGGCGAAGGGAGAAATTGTGACGATATAGTGGACGTAGCTGACGTTTGTAAACAGGCGGTGGCCGAGGTGGTGGTCGAGGCGGTTTCCAACAGAGGGACTTCGGACCTCCCGACACTGTCCTTGGTACGTCCATTCCACTCTTATGACTATCCTCAATACTCACACTCCTTCTCAGAGATCGGTTCTTTCCAACACGACGTCGAGTCCGAGATGCTCTGCTCCCTCGTGACCCCCACAAAAATCCCCTACTTCAACGCCCCCATTTACCTCCAAAACAAGACGCAAATCGGCAAAGTCGACGAGATCCTCGGTCCCATCAACGAAGTCTACTTTACCGTCAAGATGGACGCTGGTATGCTCGCGAGCAGCTTCAAGAAGGAGGACAAGGTGTACATCTCTGGAGAAAAGTTGCTGCCGATAGAGAGGTTCTTGCCAAAGCCCAAGGTGGCTGGAGGAAAGGTCGCGAGTATGTCAAAATTCAGGACGTCAGAGTGCTTGGCTGACGGTATCTACAGAGCGAGGCGGTGCGGCTGGCCGAGGTGCTCCCCGTGGTCGAGGTGGACCCCCAGGACGAGGTGGCCGAGGCGGTTTCTCCTCTCGAGGTGGTGGTGGTGGCTTCAGCGGTGGCCGTGGCGGCGGTAGGGGCGGTGGATTCAGCGGTGGACGAGGTGGTGGTGCCCCCAGGGGTCGTGGTGGCTTTAGCAGGGGAAGGGGGCAATGAGTGTAGTGAGATAGTTGTTGCTTTTCTTCCTTTCGACCATGTATGTGTACTTTTTGGCATATCATCGTCCAACGGTTCGTGAAATTTGAGAATGATCTATACATGTGTATGGCGAGAGATCGGATCTGGCAAAGAGAGCTGATCTACGCTTCTTGCCCGGCAATAAGCCTCTCGCCCTTGAGGATCGCTCCAGGTTTGGCCTCAAAGCCAGTGCCAAACTCGCAATCCTTCACCTGAGACTTTTCTCCAATACGACCGTTCGAACAGACGATACTATTCTCGACACGCGCACTGGTTTGCACCGTCAGCCCAAGAACCATTGCGACAATGAAGAAGAACTCACTTTTCCTCCACAGTGACGAAATCCCACAGCACACAGTTGTTCAACTTTGCTCCCTTCCCAATGACACAATGTCTCCCAATGATGCACTTTTTGATGCTCGCCTTCTCACCCACCCTCGTCCCTTCGCCCATCACACTATCCGGCGAGATCTGCGCCTGCGGCGAAACGTCCGGTGCTGTCCCAGCATCCTCCCCTGCGACTGTTGTTCGTACAGAAGAAGGGCCAGAGCCGGATTTGGTGACAAAGGGAGGTGTGGCGGAGGAGAGGGATTTGATGAAGCGGCGGTTGAGTTCCCAGTAACCGGCGAGAGAGTTGGCGCGGATGAGGTACTCGGGTTCGTGTGGGGGTGCACGAGACTTGTCTTGCTTTCCCTTACCGCCCTGAGCCTGACCCTTTTGCTGCCCTTTCTGCTGTCCGGGCTGGTCGGCAGAAGGAGGAGAAGGAGGAGGGGTGATGACCATGACTTGGCACTTCCATTCCGGGGTGTTGCCAAATTTGTGAGAAGAGGCCGGAGGAAGGATACCGGACGAGTACATGTCGGCATCGGCGGAGGGCGATGTTGGGGTGGTATCAGGGTAGGGAGAGACGGATGGGGAAGGGGATGATTGGGAGTGGAAGAGGAGGGAGCGAGAGACGGGGGCGGTGGTGGAACGGGCGAGGGCTTCCGCGAGCGGATCTCGTGTTGGTGGGTCCAAGACTTCTTTGTGTCAGTATGACCTTTCGACATGGAGATTCACTCACTAGGCGCCCACTTCTCGCCCAAACCTCTCTGCCAACCTCCCTTAATCAACCACGGCACGACCTGGTCCTTCATACTCCCCAAATCCTTCGCCCTCCTGGTCGCGAGCAAGTCCAAGAACGTCCGGCGGAAGACGTAGACGTGCGCGTCGAGGAGACGGGTGGTGAGTGAGAGGGTGGGGTGGTGGTTGAGGAGGGCAGTGCGCACTCGGAAGTCTTCGTCGAGGGCTTGCATGGGTTGGATGAGGAGGAGTTCGTCGGTGGTTCTGTCGAGGCCTATGAGAAACTTTTCTTCGTCTGCGTATTGTCAGCTGGATACCCAATAGAGAAACAAAGAAGACATACTCTCTTTGACTGATTCTATGGGTTCATAGAAGACGGAAGTGAGGATGGCTTTCGGTGTTGAGCGATGCTTGTCGAGCACCTTCTTCAGAGGCAGGTAAGGAGGTGGCGAGATATCGCAGGGTAGAAGCACAAAGTCGCTCTGCACCATGGTCAGCATCAGATCCTCGAAGTCCACTAATGACCCACCTTGATGAGATTTCTGAATCGCTTCAAGATCCTAGCCGTTCCATCCTTGCCATCAAAACTTTCATTCTCCTCCTCGTCCCTCTCGCCCTCCGTGTTCTTTCTCAGATCTATCCGAGCCTTGGCGTGGGTAGATTTGCTGTAAGCTTCCGCAATGTGGTCGGCGATTTGGTCGTGGAAGATGTTTGGGACGATAATGAGGATATCTGGCCAGAGCGTTAACAGTAGCTCTCAATTGAATTAACCGCATGGACTTACCTAAAAGTCCCGAGGCAAGGACCCAATCAATGACAGAGTTGATAATGGGAATGTTCCCGACCGGCATGAGTGCTTTGGAGATGACATTTGTGCCCTGGTTGAAGGGATACAAGCTCTCGCCGTAGCCGACGAGAATGACCGCGGAGAAGTCTCTTTCGACGCTGGCCCTCTTTTTGGGTGCTGTCTGGTGGGGGTCGAACATGGCAGTCGATATATTTTGGCGGCTTGTCGAGTAGAAGTATCTTGAATACTCGAAATAGTGGGACAAAAAGTCGAAGGTGGACGGAAGTGGTGAGGTGGAAGAGGTTACGTAAACAGAGTCCCCGTCACAGCTGCACCATGAGGGCTCTTCTCGTTCATTTACATCTTTACACTCAGCCGCCATGGTATGTAGCCAAGGGGGGTGGGTGGAAGGGCGCGCTGATAGGTATCCGCAGTCTGCCCAAGCATCAAAACCGGTCCCAGTGGAAACGCAACATGAGGACATGATCGTTCGTCCCATCGCCCTGTTTGAACTCGCGCTCACTTGCTCTCCAGCACGATGCCCAGCTCGACTACTACGGCAAGCGTCTCGCGACCTGTTCATCAGACAGGACTATCCGCATATTCAACGTGGTCAAGGGTCAAGCCAAGGGCGATCCAGTGATCCTCAAGGGGTACGTTCATCTCCACCACTCCGCACTCTTTGTTCACTCTCGCGCAGCCACTCTGCCGCCGTCTGGCAAGTCTCATGGGCCCACCCTTCCTTCGGCTCCATCCTCGCCTCGTGCTCTTATGACGGACGCGTCTTTATCTGGAAAGAGGTCGGCCAAGGACAAGGCAAGGGCAGCGGTGGAGAAATCCAGGATGGCTGGGAGAGGATCAAGGAGCACACTTTGCACACTGCCAGTGTCAACTCTATCGCCTGGGCGCCTTATGATCTCGGACCCATGCTTGCGTGCGCCTCGAGCGACGGCAAGGTCTCTGTTTTGAGCTTTGGAGGTAAGTCTGGATAAAGCTCTTACGCGCGGTACGCTGACAGGCGCAGATGACGGTTCTATCGACGTCAACATCTTCCCCGCCCACGGCACCGGTGCCAACGCCGTCTCCTGGGCTCCTTCCGTCGTATCCACCTCCTCCGGCCCTGTCCGAGCCCAGCCCGCCACCTCTGCGCTCAAGTCGCAAAAGAAGTTTGTCACTGCCGGTTCAGACAACTTGATCAGGATCTGGGGATTCGATGAGGAGCAGAAGAAGTGGGCGGAGGAGGAGACTGTGAAGGGACACGAGGACTGGGTTAGGGATGTTGCGTGGGCGCCGAATATCGGGTTGCCTGGGATGTTTATCGCTTCGGCCTCTCAGGTGAGTCCTTCCTACTCCTGTCCTTCAGTACTGATGTGGTATAGGACCGAACCGTCCTCATCCACTCTCGCCCCACGCCTTCTTCCCCATGGACATCCACACCCCTTCTCCCCAACCTTCCAGACAACCAAGACCCCCACTTCCCCGACGCCGTCTGGCGCGTCAGCTGGTCGCTTGCCGGCAATGTGCTCGCTGTCAGCTGTGGAGACGGCAAGGTCAGTCTCTGGAAGGAAGGTGTCGGAAAGGGATGGGAGTGTGTCAGTGATTTCACAAGCTAGATGGCGTTGGAAAGTAGGGGTGTCAATGATGGAAGAATGTAACGACTGCTGCTCGGAGGGCGTTTGTGTTTCATCAACAACAGATTTTCTGATTGCATAGGCTACATATCAACAACACCGCAGGCTTATACCGTGCTGATGGCGTCAACTTTAGCTGACATCGGTACACTTCACATTGACAGGCCCATCGGTGATAGCGAGGTCAGGTGTAGGGTAGACATCAACAGCTTCGGTGACACTGGCCGTCGCCGTCGCCACACACTATTCTCAAATCATTAGCAACAATTACTATACCCTACAGCCATATGTCCGCACCTCGATGACCTTGGTAGGCTCCCCCTGATTAATCGTCCACCCATTCTGATCATAATCCGACCCCGTCTCCGTCGCCGCCGCCGGCCAAGTCGTCTGCGTCTCATAAAACGTCACCTGAAACGTCTCTTCCTTGTAATCCACCGGGTCGCCAAAAGTAAATTTGACTTCATTAGGGCCGGTGATACCGTAGGGTCGTTTTTGGCCGTCGCCGGAACCTTCGTTTTTGTCGGCAGAGGTGAGCTTTTGGTAGCGGGAGATGGCTACGTAGACGGCGGGGTCGACTGATGGGGCTGCGATGGGGGTTGAGGCGGCGGATGGGGGGAGGGTGGATTCGTCGGCGGCGAGGGAGGGAAGGGCCGACAGAAGGAATGATGAGAGGATGATTCGTGCAAACATTGAGTATCGTAGAGAGATTGGAAGATACTGATGAGCTGTGGTAGAGCCGGTAATGTACGACGGTAGCACTTGGCTAGACTTGGGATGTCGATGGGCTCTCGTCTCAGCGGTACATCCGTCGTCTCTTATACAATCCCTCCTACGTACTCTTTCCTCCGGAGACTCATGGCACGCCAAGCCAACCGCATCTGACTCTGTCAAAGGAAGTTTTGATCGCGGTCTCTCGGATATTTTCTTCCGGGGTGCTTGAAGGGAAGGGACCAGAGAGTGCACAACCAGAACAACATGTCATGGGAATCTGGTAAGTGGATCGAAGGCTCCTTTCTGATCTTGTCTGGCTCCTTTCTGTAGTAGACTGTTGACTTTGTGCCTCCAAGCGAGACATCTTGGACGACGGCTCTGTACTCATCTCGTCATCACTCGATCGCGTTGTACATGAGGCAACATATACATGCTACACTTCTCATACTCTATACAGATATCACACTGCATTATTGAAGCTATTATTGCTGCATCAGGAGTGCTTTGCGCGCTGCTCAGGCGGAATCAGTGCACTTGATGCCCACACCACCTGTAGTGGTCGAAATGTCAGGAGTTGGAACCAACCAAGCGTTCTCGGTCAAGCTAGCGTTAGCGGTGGCGACACACTAGGATGAGAGATTAGCAAAGTACTGATGCTAGCTGAAGACGAGCGCTCACCTCAATGACCTTGGTGGGAGTCCCGCTGGCGGTCGTCCACGCCTCGGGATTGTAAGTGCCCGACGGCATGGCCCAGGAAGAGGACTTGTAGTAGCTGATCTTGAAGGTCTCCTCCTTGTAGACATCCCCGTTGAACTTGAACTTGACAGCATTGGGTCCAGTGATGCCGTAGGGCCGCTTTTGGCCATCGCCAGAGCCTTCGTTCTTGTCATCCGAGTGAAGCTTTGCAAACTCTTCGATGTCGACCCAGAAAGCAGGAGTGACTTGAGGAGTGGATGCCACGGATGAGCTACTCCCAGGGCCCCCAGCAGTCACTGCATTGGTAGAGCCAAGGGTTGCAGAGGGCACATCGGAAACAGCCGAGGCTGGCACCGCGAGAGCAGGAAGCACAGCGAGAAGCAAAGCAGGAAGCACGGAAGCGTGAGAGAAGAACATGGTGAAAACTTGAGCTTGTGCTATATAGGTATGTCTACGCGAAAAGAGGGTGTTGATGGCTGATCGGTCGTAGTCGATTGTAATAAGAGAGTATGTTACTGTAGCGCCAGGCTGGTAAGTTCGATTAACTTGAGATATCTGCTCTAAAGACCAGTTGAGCTGTCATCTTTTATATCCACCGATCCGATCCATAGGCACTTCTAAAATGCACATGCAGCCGGGCTCGCTTCAGGAGTGGTCTTGAGCGAGAAAGGAGGGGTAACACCGGGAGCGAGTACTTCGGGTTGTGGTATAAAGGGATCACGGGGGTATTGCTCAAACCTGACAGCACCTGAATGGTAGACCAAGAGCCTTTGATCTGAGGTGCTTGCTCTATTGATGCGCGTTGTTCAGCTATCTTACGCGTGACAGGGCGACGAGCCACCGTCAAGGGGTCAGCTTATAACATTTGCCCCCTTCCGTTGTTCTTCAGTTGAGTCAGGGACCTATTGCGAGTCACCTCCTATGATCTTTGACTTTGCTCTCTATTGTGACAAAGCTTTGTTCAACAGGTAAGGCCTGACATATGTTTTGTACCAGTGGAACGCTAGGTGGCGGTAGCAGAGGATCATTTGTAAGAAAGCTGCATCGATAGGGTCATACTAAACACTCTAATACCTTCAAGCATAGAATCCTCGGCATCTTTACAGGTGACGGTTTAGGGCGACTACTCAGCAAGTCCAGAACATTTGACTTGGTACGCTCCAGTAGTGGTGGAGAGACCGGGCACGGGAACGACATCCGCGTCCTCTTTGGAGCTGGCAGTGGCGGTCGCAACACACTTCACAAGGTTCGGTCAATCATGGCGATAGGACATTTCCAAGAGCAAGAACTTACTTGTACGACAGTAGTGGGGTTGCCTGTGGCCCAGACAGTAGGATCGGGTATCTCAAAGTTCCCAGTCACAGAAGGGTCGACGCCTGCTGTCTTGTAGTACCTCACCCAAAAGGTTTCCGCCGTGTAATCTTCTGGATCGCCGAACGCGAATGCAATCTCTCCAGGACCGTCCAGCCCATAAGGTCTTTTCTGGCCGTCACCATCTCCTTCGTTGTCATTGTGAGAGTGGATGGTAGAGAAAGGGTCCAGCCGAATATAGAGTGAAGGCGCTGGTTCGTCAGAGCTAGAAGAGGAGGAGATCGGGGCGGCGACGGATGAAGATACCGGAACACTCGACGTGTTAGATGCCGGAGCTGCCAGGGCAAAGGGCAGGATGGCGAGCAGGGCAGCAGGGGTGAGAGCTTTCTGAGCGAGCATAATAACGGCGACGGGTGACTTGTCTTGGGGTCGCTGGTATGACGTTATACTATCGTTGTTTTCTGTCAGTCTCAACTCGCAGATAACGAGACTCACTTACCATTTATAGGCTTCATTGTCGTATCTGAAACGACATATCGTGGCAGGGGCATGGGCAGCACCCATTGTTGAGTGATCGTTTGGGCCTGATTAACAAAAGGAAGATGAATTGTCGTTTCATTGACTTGCCCATCCAACACCGCCTGCTCCTGAGATGAAGGGAGCCTTTGTCACATCTACCAACCCGAGTGAGGTCATCCTTTCTCATTTCATTACGCCCGAGGATGAAAGGCAAGAAGAAAGGGTCCACTGCCATGAGAATCCACTCTGAGAAGCTGATGACGTCGTCTGCAAAGTCCAAAATCTGTCCGAGGGTCATGAATGCGAATGCATAAGCTCGATTATCCGTACACGGTGATTGCCAAGACAGGGGCACCAAAAAAAAATGAAAGCCACTACCCTCTGCCCAGCCTCTCAAGGACATTCTCTCGTTCTATCCTCAAGACTACAAAGCTCTCCTTCCTCTCCTCTCCTCACTTCCGGCCTGTCGCATCTCCAACACCCGGAATGTTTGCCCCAACCACGTCGCCTCTCTGCGCGCCTAGTAAGTACGCTTGAAAGGAGGCACAGGCTTGCACTCGTTTGTGTCCAGAGTAGTGTCAATGACACCTCGGTATTGGAGCTCGACCTCTGGTGATTCGGGGTCGCGTTGGAAGGAGAGGGTGTGCTTCATCCAGGACTCGCTGGGGCAATGGTCAGCTCGAGAGGGGGGATGGGAATGGGAAGGGGACGTACTCGTCTCGGTCGGGGTAGTCCTCTCGGGCGTGGGCACCTCGAGATTCCTTTCGGGCGGCGGCGGAAACGACAGTCTGCATAGCACATTGTTGAATGTTTCGGAGTTCAAGGGTCTCGATAAGATCGCTATCGCCATATCAGCTCTGATTCACAGATACGGTTGGGAGGAACGTACGAGTTCCAGATCATGCTTCGGTCCTTGATACCAACTTGGTCGTAAGACTTGTACACCTCCTTCATCTGCGCAACGCCAGCATCCAAAGACTCTTGCGTTCTAAGATAACCATCAGCGACAGTCCCTTCTCGAGTATGATGACTTGCCGGAAGACGGCAGCCTCCGTTTGCATAGTCTTTTGCATGTTGAGCCTGATCTGGCTCGTGGGCAAAGGTCCACTAGCATTCCTAATCTTGTCCAAATTGTCAATAGACTCCTTGCCGAGCTCGGGGTTCATAGGCTTGTGAGGCGTGTTGGGCGTAAGGGTCTCCCTGATGTGGTTCGCACAAGCTCGACCAAAGACGACGATATCAAGCAACGAGTTGGCGCCCAATCGGTTCGCGCCGTGCACCGAGACACAGGCCGCTTCACCCGCAGCGTAAAGGCCGGGGACGACCTTGTCCTTGCCCTGCTCGTCGACGGTGAGGACTTCACCCGTGTATTTCGTGGGGATACCGCCCATGTTGTAGTGGACGGTAGGGAGGACGGGGATGGGCTCCTTGGTGACGTCGACACCGGCAAAGATGGCGGCGGTCTCGGAGATACCGGGGAGTCGCTCGTGCAGGATTTCAGAGGGCAAGTGGGAGAGCTGGAGGTAGATGTGGTCCTTTTCGGGTCCGACACCTCGGCCTTCTCGGATTTCGAGGGTCATGGATCGGGAGACGACGTCTCGGGAAGCAAGATCCTTGGCGGTGGGGGCGTATCGCTCCATGAATCGCTCACCCTCAGAGTTGACGAGGTAACCACCCTCACCTCGAGAACCCTCGGTAATCAAACAACCGGCACCGTAGATACCGGTAGGGTGGAACTGGACAAACTCCAAATCTTGCAGAGGCAAGCCAGCTCGGACGACCATGGCGTTACCATCACCGGAACAGGTGTGGGCAGAGGTACAAGAAAAGTATGCTCGGCCGTAACCACCGGTAGCCAGCACGGTCTTGTGGGATCGGAACCTGTGGAGGGTACCGTCTTCCATGTTGATGGCGAGGACACCGACACATTCGCCGTCTTGCATCAAGAGGTCGACGGCAAAGTATTCGATGAAAAAGTTGGTGTTGTGTCGGAGGGATTGACCGTAGAGGGTGTGGAGGATAGCGTGGCCGGTTCGGTCGGCGGCGGCGGCACATCGGTAAGCCTGACCACCCTTGCCGAATTGCAATGATTGACCACCGAAAGCTCGCTGGTAGATCTTGCCCTCCTTGGTTCGGGAGAAGGGGACACCGTAGTGTTCGAGCTACCGTCTTGTCAGCCCCCTCTTTGATATGATATCGCAAGACTCACCTCGACGACAGTGTTGGGAGCTTCTCGACACATGTAATGGATAGCGTCCTGGTCACCCAACCAATCGGAACCCTTCACAGTGTCGTACATATGCCATCTCCAGTCGTCCTCAGTCATGTTACCGAGAGCGGCGTTGACACCACCTTGGGCGGCGACGGTGTGGGATCGGGTAGGGAAGAGCTTGGTGATACAAGCAGTTTTGAGGCCACCCTCGGCTATGTCATGTCAGCGTTGTTCAAGATACTCCGGGGCACGACTCACCAAGACCGAAAGCAGCTCGGAGACCGGCACCACCAGCACCACTGTAGTAGGTTAGCAATCGATCTTCATCTTGTATTCTTCATAAATAGATCGCTCCAATCCTCATAGGATCGCTGCCCCCCGCCCTCGTTGCTCTCGCGATGGCACAGCTTGTAAGCCATCCAACTCCTCAGATCGGCTCTTCCGCCTCGATCTCTCCCGCCGGGCACCTCTAACTTCTACAATCTGATCTCCTGCGCCTCCGAGTCTCTTCGCCTCGCCGTGGCTCCAAATGACAGGGCACTCGGTGATTTCGAGAGGCCACGGCGATCCACCAAAATTCGCGATTATCGCCTTCCGCTCCACTTTCGCCACGGCTCTGCTCAATCTGGATATCGTTCGTGGGCGGCCTCGTCCAGACCACTCTCTTGGCCCTTGATGATACCTGCTGGAGGGAATATAGGGTGAATGGACTCACACGACGACGGCGTCAAATTCATGGTCGATGATTGGGTAGCCCTTCTTCTGGCCGAAGTTGGGAGCCTCAGCAGCGCGGTGAGTCTGGGAGGCGGCGACGTAGCCCCTGGCGAGACGGTTGAGGGGGCGGGAGACGGCTCTGGCACGGGCGAGGGCGAGCATGGCGGGTGGGGAGAGAAAGAGAAAGTAGTAACATCAAGTGCGGCATCTTCCGCTATTTCCGATCCTCCCCGACACAACAGCCAATCCCCGCCATCACATTTGCTAGTAATCAGCCATCCCTCATTACAACAAGGGCTAATACACTGTCCCGATCTGCTAATGCCAACTGGCAGAGGCACAAAGTGGAGGCACACCGGCCGACTCTTTAGTTCTTGCAACTTTCTTGACTGCTACTCGACTCTGCTCAACATCACAAAAGCCCATACAGCTCGCCCCAGGGGATCATTGGAGGGAGAGCCTACTAATCAAGTACCATGCACAAACACCCAGAAGCACTCTCCGACCCCGACATCTTCTCAGACATCCCCGTGGGAGAAGAGAGGAAGGCTATCGACGCGGCTGAGGGGAAACCGCATTCACCGTATGCTGGATTCGCTGCTGGTATTCTGTCGGGGTATATTCATCTTTTTGGAATCGTTGATTGAAGAAGCTTACATGTCGATAGATGGACAAAGGTATGAGCTCTTCGATGGCTATCTATGCCTCAAGTTACTAAGTGATTCTCTGTTCTAGCTCGTTGTCGGTCAGCCGCCTGATACGATAAGTAGGTATAGCTTGTTCAGCTGCATGAGGTGATACTGACGGAGCTATAGAAACGCGACTGCAATGTACACCTCCAGGCTACTACAAAGGCGCTTGGGACTGCTTTACCAAAACAGTCAGCAAAGAAGTATGTTTCTAGACCTGGTCCCATAGCTTCTATTGACTCATGCTGTACGCCAGGGACCGAGAGCTCTTTACAAGGGAGCTAGTATACCAGCAATGACATGGCCCATAACCGACGCGCTTCTGATGGGGAGGTGAGTACTCCTCAATACTGGGAAGCTACAAGCTGACGATGGCTCAAAGCGTGCACAACTATCGAGCTTTCCTTTTGGGTCATGGTTTTGAGGAACGTATACCGGGAACAGACAAAGAACGGTTATCCATCCTCGGCCACACCGTCGCTGGTCTCTTCGCCGGCTGGACAAAGTACGCCCCCTTCCTCTCCCTCTCATTCTCACCAGACAGCCCCTCACACCTTACACAGCTCCGTAGTCTGCCACCCCTCCGAAATAGTCAAATGCAAACTCCAACTCCAACTCGCCCGTCCCGCGCACATCCCCAAACTCTATTCCGGCCCCCTGGACGTCATCCGACAGACAGTACAGGAGCAAGGTGTCTTTTTTGGGATGTGGAGGGGGTGGGGGGCAAGTTTGATGTTTAGGAGTTATCATGCGGCCATGTTTGGAAGTCAGTCGTCATCTTCTTGCAGGACTTGGTGGGGGCTGATGGGTGGTCATAGGTTTTGAGATTCTGAATAGGATGTTCAAATCGTGGGATGGCACGAGCTGGGAGATCCCCACGGAGCTCGCCAATTTCCTGGCGGGTGGTCTTGCGTCGAACGTCTACTGGATAGCCGCTCTACGTAGGCCCCTCTTCTCTTCTTCCCTCTGAACACGGCGAATTTGCTGATATGGCACTAGCAACGGACAATGTCAAGAACCGTATCATGGGTCAGTCTCACCCCGTCTTCAGAGCAAACTCCGGACTGAGCGCTGATGCTTTGACAATAGCCGACGACATCAAAAACCCAAAATACAAAGGCGTATTCGACGCATACAAAAAAGTCTGGATGGAGACGTACGATCCTTCAAAGGGTGCCAGTTGGAATGCCGCTGCGAGATGGCGGACTCTCTTCCGTGTACGTCCCCCCTTTTTCCTTTCCCCCTCCCCTCTTCCCTCTTGATTATCATTGCTGATGTGAGAGTTAGGGCTTTGTACCGGTGGTAGTCAGAGCGTTCCCGACGAATGCTGCTGCTCTTATGGTTTGGGAGGGGGTCATGCGGTATTCGGGAGCCAAGTAGGCGGAGAAAGGCCGGGCCGTTGGGGGTTCGGGTGCATGAACCCTATCAAGGACGATAGATGTGTGACCCGTGGTCTGTCTAGAAGGAGCTCGAGTGAGGGCTCATCACATGTAGCATAATTACACGTCTTCCTTTTCCTTCAATTGACTTTGAGTGTAGCGACTCGGTAACCTTCTGCCAAACATTGTGCCCCAACATACCCTATTGTTGTCGGTTATCATGTGAATATAGAATATGTATCATACGATTGAGGTGTTGAAAACAATGAAGGTTGGGTGGGATTATCCTTTCACCGTAATCTCCATATGAAGCCCCACACACTGTCGCCCGCAGATATCGCCATCACACGTTGACTATCACTACGCTAAAAAACACTGGTAAAGTCCTTTGTGAACCAAGTTGATTGCGTTCGTTCACTCAAGCTTGAAAGGAAAGACTGAACAATAATGATCAAAGGAAGAACATGTTGAAGGATCATGCCAGGGCAAATCGAACGATATGGTGCTACTACTTTGTGCGTCGTGTATCAGCATCTTTGGACTCGTTGATGAAAAGACGGTGGCGTGCCGGAAGAGTACATAAGCTATCTCTACATCGCCCGGCGCTGAGATAGTCTTGTCCCGTGCAAGTAGCTTATTTTATCACGATCTTTCATCGCATATCAACAGACATCGTGATGTTCTCCAACAGGCTCGTTCCATCCTTCTTGCTTGCCCTCGCTACCACCTTGCCCTTCTCATACTCTGCCCCATTCGACGAAGAAGTCCAAACGTTGATCGAGTCACGAATCGCCGCGTCAAACGATCATCCGACGCTCGACATCCGCGTTGACGACGAGTACAGTAAATTGCAGTCCCATAATGCAAACGAAGGAGACGGGGAAGGACAAAAGAGACCTTACGGGCTTCTTGGGCACGGGGATGTCGAGTTCAAGTTCTATGAGCCGGAGAATTATAAGCAAGAGACGTTTAGAGTGAGCTACTTTGAACCGCCTACAACATCTGCTGGGTACCAGGTGGACGACGCATGGGAAACGCACTCTGCGACCAAAGTCATTGAGGCAAGTCTCGTTTCTTGATCAGAGTACATTGTAAGCTCATGTCGACCGTCAGTGTACCGTCTCGGTGACTGCGAGTCCCACGGCAAGCGCAACCGTAAAGCCATCCGAAGGGTTGACAAACACTGATGGGCTGTATCAAGTCAAGTGCACTGGGGTATGACACCATTAAGCTTGAGGAGCCGAGTAGTGTGTTCAATACTTCAGGTATGTATGTGATCCGTTGCAGTAGAAGAGAATGCAGGGACGCATGTTTGGAATCAGTCTGCGCCGCGCGAAGACAACAGCTATACGCGACCGCCCCCACATGAATCCCGAGTTGGATATGCAGGACGTGTTCATGATTCGATATCACGTCAACTGAACCCTTTTCCCCTTCAACGCCCACCCAACCCACGCCACCCCCGCAGTATACACCCCCAACACCCCCATCGCCACCCACTTGCCCACATACATCGTCTCCATCGTCACATTCACCAGCCCCGTCAAGAGATTGGCAACGAGAAAGATGACCAAGCTGTTCTTGTTCATTGCTTCGAGCAAGGGCGGGACGGATGAAGGGGAGCTGGAGCTTGAGGATGTAGGTTGGGTGGGGAGGAAGTGGGAGAGAAGGAGATAGCCGAGGAGGAAGGAGGTGTTGTAGGCTGCTACCCAGAGGACGTATGGTGTATTAGCCTGGGAAAGTCGTCAGTATAGGCCAGTATCGAGAAAGACGACCCTCACCATTTGACGTGAGACTTCGCCTCCTGCAAACAGCCAGAGTACTAACAGGGACCACCATCCAACACTGTATCCGACCAGCTCCATGATCAAGTCCAGAGTCTTTCTCTCCATGTGACTCTGTTCATGTTCTTCTTCATTCTCCGACACTGTCCTTCCTCGAGGAGGCAGCGATAACCGCAGGACGTGGTCGCCAGTGGCAAGACCAAGGAGAAAAATGGCGAGGTATCCAGGGAGAGAAGCTAGGCCTTCTTTGTTGGCGAGAAGAAGGTTTGAACGGACGGGGGAGAGTACAAAGTCCTGGACATAGTGATGCAGTACCGCTTGATGCGACAACGACACAATCACACCGATCCAGCTCCACTTGAGCCATCGAGTCAAAGGCCTCACTCCCACAGCAAGCACAGGTACGAGAGCCAGAGTGAAGAAGAAGTTCCAGTGGACTCCGTACTCGGTGACATGCTCGGGATAGTCGCTTCCCTTGACCATGATGAGCCTGAGGAAGCCCAGAACGAGGATGGGAGCTGATTTGCGGAGAGAGGTGATGATGGAGGTCATGGAAGAGGGAGTGGTGTTCAAGGCGAAGGAGTTCATAGCCGGGGAAGTGGGGAGGGGAGCAGGTGGGGGAGGTGAGAGTGTTTTGGTGGAGATGAGGCCTAGGGAGAAGACGAAGGATCCGACGCCCACGTCCATCTACAGCCGTCAGCTACCACATTGACCAATACAAGTAGCTTACCAGACTAGTTCCAAATTGCTCGCACTTGCCCTGCCACCTTGGAAACACCTCAAAGTCCACCGCCAAGATACAGATAACCGTCATGAGCATCATATGCGCCCGATAGACCGTCAAGAATGGCAGTCTCGTTTTCGCTCCCGTTTCCTCCTTCTCCTCCACCTTTCTCTTCCGAGGTTTGCCAAGGCGTAGAGGTACTGGCGATATCCGCCCCTTCAAAAGAGGGTCGAATGCGTACCCTTCTCCGCCCGGCTGCAGAGATCGTCTCCTGTTGACCCCCATAATCCCTAGAGGATCTTCCTGAGCTGAGCCAGCCGGGAATCCAGGCGATATGGGAGGCGCAGACTCTGGCGATAGTAGAACGCCTGATGAGAAGGCGACTTGGGAAGGAAGCCTCACTGGCGAGACTGTAGTCGAGCCGCTTGCCGAAGCAGGCTCGGCGGCCTCTTCATCCGAGTCGGATTCATCCAGCCATTGGCCCTTCGACTTGAGCTGCTTTGTGCTCTGCTTTAGGGATGACTGGGATTTGGTGTGAAATAGGAGTGCGAGTAGTATCAAAGCACAGGTGTAGATTATAGGAGATGTAGCGAAGACGGTGACGCCGAGGAGGATTGGCAGGGCATTCAGAAGGTAATTCGAGGCAAACCCGGATCGGGTGGGGTGTGGCGAAAGTGTGATCCAGATGGCATATGTGGCCTGTCATCCCTAGTCAGCGCTGTATACGGATGCTAACAGCACTCACCAGCGCAGGCAGGCTGACGGCGTTGATGCTCGAAACGGAGGCGCCGAGATTGTCAGAGACAAATGCCTCTTTAGCCGCCTTGTAGTCTGCCATTATTGTAGCCGTATAGACATGTCAGGTATCCGTAGACAAATGAAAACGAGTAGGAAAGAGAACAAAGAACATTTATGGACGCTTGACGACGCTTGGACGACGCTGACACCGAGACGCGTGGGGCTCTAAGGCACTCCCGATTCACGCGTCTGCTCTCACTCTCTCGCTGTACAAGGACTGGAACAACATGTGCATGCAAATCAACCTATTCCGATATATGAATGCCAGACCCTAGACTCAATTGTAGAGCGGTATATGCTAGATGTAATGTATTTGATTTTTATATGAGCGCAGAGCTGCACCAAAAAAGACAGCCAACAGGGTCTGTCATTTTAGAATCTCCAGTCGGGACCAGCCTCGGCCTCAGCCCAGGGGAACTTTTCGCGCCTACAACTACCGTCAGCGTGGCACGCTCCAACTTTGAGATCGGCACGTACAATGTCTTGGAGAAGAGCTTCTCAAGAGGCACCTCATACTTCTTGGCCCAGGCAACAGTCAACCGGGGGTCGATATAGTTGATCTTGGAGGTACCAAGGGCAACATCCTTGAGGTTTGCTCGGTCCCGAAGCTGCACCTTGCTTGTGGCAATCCGTTCGTCCATTTTGGAGATCTGGGCGAGGAGCTTTTCCTCCGTAGCTAACAAGAACATGAGCTCTTATTCACGAGTGACAGTTGCGATGACTCACCGCCTCTCTTCGGCTCGAGCTTCTTCGACTTTCGCTCCTTCTTCAACTCCTTAAACTCCGCCTTGATCTCGTCCAGCCTCTCCTCCAAATCCTTCTTCTTCCTCTTCGGCTTGTCATCCTTCTCAGCCTTGACATTATCCGTGTCAAACTTCTTTTTGGCAGTCTCCAAAGCCTTCTCTAAGAGCTCCTCCTCGTGTCGTTCGATAAACTCGTCGTCCACGTCCGACTCGTCCTCGGCGAGCTCCTTGTGCTTCTTTTTCAGCTTGGGGTCGATGGCGAAGAGCTGGAGGCGAAGCTTCATACGCTGGTACTTGAGGGCTCGGAGCTACAAAATAGTCAGCCTGGCACTCAACATTACTAATCCTTCACTGACCTTGTCCTCAGCCTTCGCGAAACTACTGTCAAAGCCCTTGCTAACACTCTTTTGATGGTTACACAGAATGGCGACATCTCTGTTCGCATCATTGTAGGCAGCAATCTTTTCAGCCACGGTGCCCTTCTCGGGAGTGTTCTTGTCCAATTGCTGTTGGAAAGTCCAAGAGGCGTTGTAGGTACGGAAGACCTTGGCGGTGAGACCAGGCATCATGCTATTGAGATGCTTGTTCACAAGCGAAGTCTGAACAGAATCAGCTTGGCTCATCGCAAATCATCATAGATACGCACAGTCAACCGGTCAAAGATATCGTCGCCCTTCTTCTTGGGTTCAGCCTTGAACAACTTGATGTTCTTAAACACCTGAGGAGCAACCTCCACAACCTGATGGAATCTCATCGAATCCTTACCCAAGAAATCAAAGATCAGGGTGTTAGGAGGTTGCAGCGTGACGTGCTCGTATCGCAAGGAACAACAACCGACAGTGTCTGCCTCGTCTTCACCTTTTTCGTTACCAGCACGCAGAGCGAGGATATCAATAAAGTAGAGAGCGGTAGCACGTTGACGGTCGGCCATGACCTTGGACTTGAGGTCGGTTGTGTAGTCTTTTCGGATTTGATCGACGTGTTTCTGTGCAGCTGATGAGCATCTGACAAGCGCGTGATATGTGTGACTTACAATGAGCTCTCGAGCCTTTTCAAACTTGGCACGATCACTCTGACCCTTCCAAGCACTACCAGCGCTTAAAAACACATATTTCGTGTTTCCATTTACGTTCTCCTTCCAGTAGGCGAGCCAAGTGACAGTGTTATCATGCTGAACACCCTTCCATTCACCGGGAACATTGGGAATTGGGATAGTCGCCTCTTTGCCGATATTCAAGATGATGTCCTCGGGTCGGAGACGGTTCTTGACCGTGCCCTTCTTTGGGTGTTCACCACGACCCTTGAACAATCCAGGAGGTTCGGCACGGAAGTTACCGAGCTTCTCTTGTCTTCCGTCTACGTTGGCAAAGAGGTACGGTGCTTCCAGCTTGTCCTTTTCCTCCTTGATGCTGTCCAACGCGTCAGCGATGCCGGTCCGGAGTCCCAAAGGTACTCACGCCTTCTTCTCATCCTTGGTCATCGCCTTCTTCTTCTCCTTCTCCTTCTCAAAGTACTCAAACATCGGCCTAAAGTCACACTTCTCAAAGCTCTTGATCTTGACGGGCTCTTCTGGCGGGAACTTTGCAGCAATCTCTTTAAAGTCGCGGAAGAAGTTTTCTTGGAACTTTGCATCCTGAGCGTGATCGGTTTCGAGAAGGGCACCAAAGAAGCCGGCGACTTCTTCGGTCTCGGGGGGAAGGGTAAGAGGGACACCTGTAAGCATGTGAGCATATTCCACCAATTCAAATGCAAAGGGCTGACCGTCATATTTCATCTTGATGTTCTTGGGGAGAGGGACATATGCAGGAGGGAACAAGACACCGTTGTGCTGAAGGACAGTCCATTTAGAAGAACCATCGCCCATAGCATCTTGCTCTTCCCACCATTTGTACTTGTCTTCTTCCTCTTCCCTACTGCCACGTCAGCTCGGCGCTTATAGTTTGTGGAGCTACGCACTCTTCCTTCTTTGTCTTCTTCTTCCCGCCTTTCTCTGATTTGACAACCTCCTTCTTTACAGCGGCCTTGGCCTTCTTCGCCAGGGGCTTTTCCTCTTCCTCTGATTCTGTCTCCTCCTTCTTGACCTTTTTGGCGGGAGCGCGCTTGGCAGGCTTCTTCTTGGCGGGCTTCTCATCTTCAGAGTCTTCGGACCCACTCTCTTCCTTTACAGCCTTCTTTGTTGAGGCGCGTCGAGCGGGTTTTTTGGCCAAAGGCTTTTGTTCCTCCTCGGAGGATTCAGCAGGAGGGGAGCTAGCAGGGATTTCCTTCCTGACCTTGCTCTTGCCGTTGGTCGCCTTCTTCGCCAGTGGTTTCTCCTCCTCCTCGGAGTCAGAAGCAGCAGCCTTCTTGGTGGTTCGTTTCGCTTTTTGCTGTTTAACGCCCGACGCGTCCGTCAGCGCACGGGCCATGTTGCAATGTTGAAAGACGCGTCTGCAACATACCGAGAGAGGTTCGTCGCTTTCCTCGTCGCTGCTGGCCACCACACGTCGCTTTGCTGCACCATTCGCCTTGGTCTTCTTGGCCTGGGGCACGCGTCGCGTCAGCTATCGAACGTCACGAGTATGCATGTGCCGCGCTTACGAGTGGCTTCTCCTCCTCATCGCTACTGTCCGCTCTCTTCCTGGCGCCATTGGTCTTCTTTAATGGCTGCTCCTCTTCGCTCATCTCGGAATCTTCGTCAATTTGCGGGGCATGAGCAGCATTGTTGGCAGGATCGGCCTCTGCGTTCGGGGCGACCACAGCCATGTCTTCCTGAGCTGGCTGTGCAGCTTGAGCGGACATTGTGACGGGGCGGATGCAAGTGTAGGTAGGCGGGCGAAGGGTGTTTATGCGCGATGTAAACGGGCGATGTTGGAGATGGATGAGAGGAGAAAGGAGCGCTCTCCTGAACATGTACTTGTAACCAAACACCGCAAATCTCAACTCGCCCCGCATTTCACTAAGTCGCATTTGATCCCGCGGTGACTCGGCGTTATGGGGTTGGCACCGGCCATGGCCGACGGTCGGATGAGCGCGATGATGGTGAATGATGTTCGAATGCGCAGTCAACCATTGCATAGCATCGGCAGGAGGACTGGCATAGTCCGAACAACTAAGTTGTGCTCTTGAATCGATTCGAAAAACGATATGTCTGGTACTACAGCAACTTCAAACGCCAGCTCGTCCAGCGCGCCTGTCATCCAGGACAAGATGGATTACCCTTCCCTTGCTGAAGGCCATGCAGAACCTACCGTGGCACACGTAAAGGTGGTGGGTCTCGGTGTGAATGTGTATGGTCTTAAAGAGGCCTGTGAACAACAAAAGCCTCTGACTATGATGGTGAGTGCCCTCCGAATACCTCCAGATTCTTAGTTGACCCTTACGGACAGATTGCCGCGCATGGGAGGATGAACTCGCAAAAGAACATGAAGTACTTTGCTCAGGGGATCCTGGGAGAAGTTGCCAAGAAAGACGAGACGCACAAGAAGCGTAATCTGGTCGTTGTCACACTCGTGAGTCGCACGACCTTTTATCTCAAGTGTTTCCCACTTACCATTGGGTGGCGCTTCAGGATCAACGAAACCATGGCGAGAGAATAGTCGACAAGACGGCGAACTTGTCTTTTGACCAAAATCCTCGTCATCTGTAAGCTCGCTTCAGCTTGCGTTGTCAATGTCGGGTGCTGACCTTCCTCGAGTATCGATATGGCGGCCACTATTCGTACGTCTTTGATCAAGAAGCAACGAACCTGTACCGCGCTAACGTGTAATTTATCAGAGGGCGGTGTTCACGATATTCAATTACTGATGGATTTCTTGCCGGCATACCTCTTTCCCCACGGAGAGCTGACAGTGGAGGAGTGGGTCATCACTGGTATATCGCTCGGAGGTCATGTCACTTGGAAGCTTCTCCACGACGGTATGCCACCTCTCCCTATGATGCGACTGAAGCTGACACTATGAGCAGACCCCCGCGTCCAGATTGGTATACCCATCATCGGCCTCCCATTCGAGTCCCTCCCCAAATACCTCGGCGCCCGCGCTCTCAACAACGGCCTCACCTGGGGCCCTCCCACCTACCCTCCTTCTCTCCAACGAATGATCGAACCCTTCCGCGATCTCACCTTCGAGCAGAAAGCCTACTCGGGAAAGAAGATCCTCACCATGCACGGTAAAGAGGACAAGCTCGTCCCGTTTGGACAGGGTGAAGGGGACATCAAGCAGATTGAGGACTGGGCGGAACATGGGACAGAGAAGGGCGGGATCTGCGCGATTGATGTGCAGGATAATGTGGGACATGTGTGTACGGTTCAGATGTTGAAGAAGGCCGCAGAATGGACGTGGAGGTATGCTCTGGTGGACGAAGAGGTGGGTGCGGATAGTGCCCTGAAGGAGTTTTTCGGCAAGGGCAACTTGTAAAGTCCAATGCATAGATGCTGTCCATTGGCCACTCTTATTTGCCGTATGGCGCTTGACCGAAAGCATACTCAGCAAGCAAAAATCCGAACGGGTACAATCCATCATCGCGGCCCCCTGTTGTTGATAGGTCGGAACGCCGAACAGAGCTGAATTCCAGCTCCTCTGGTCCTCAGCATCAAGTCATTGATGGAGACATGTACTCTTCAGATTGGGCCTGTGACCAAGTGCCATTCTCTTGCCCGACATTCTGCCATTCTGAAGTGGGGAGAATCGACCCTCGGAACCGATGGAACCAGACAACAGTATCATTCCGGTGTCGGCCGATTCTCCGTCGCGTCGGCCTGGTCGGCTCATGATATGTGATTGAGTCGCTCTACCCTCTGCATTCATCCTCCTCCTTCTCGCCCATCCACTATCACAGTATGCCGTGTGCCTGCATCGACCAACGACTTTCCCACACGCCCCTCAATCACGGCGGTGTGCTCCCACTGCCCCTCGAGATACGCGAAATCATCCTCAGTCATGTCCTCGCCCATCTCTGCCCTGCCCACCTCTTCTCCCACTCCCTCATATCCCGCGAGATCTACAGCGCCAATATGCCACTGGCGTATGAAAAGTACCCCGTCGTCTTGACTGACAAGAACTATCGGCAGTTCTTCTATGGCCTTTTGCGTCCCACGGCTTTGACCGACCTCGAAGTCGGGCCGCCCTCCTTCATCCTCTCTGACGCTTCCGCTTCCCTCTGCTTCACCAGCCCCGACATACCACACAAGACCAAGCTCCTCGCGAGGGTCAAGTCCCTCCGTATCGAGTCGCCCCAAGCATTCTACCACGTCACCCTCATGGTCCGCGAATGGCCGCTCATACGCGCATGGCTCTATGGCGAAGGCTTCAAGTTTGATGTCGACTGGCGTCAGGTCATGTTTGCATCCTTGTGCGTCTTTGACATTTCTTACCAAGTCGTCGCGGCAGTAAGCGCGAGCAAGGGATGGATGGAATCTCTGCGTGCCCAGAAGTTTGGGCGATGGTCAAAGACCGAGACGGGCGAGGCTCATGTGGTCTGCCTGGACATCCCCAAGGGCTTCCAATCAGGCTCCGAGATCCACAAATCCGACATGTCCTGGGTCATCAGTTTCGCCTATTCCCTCATGGACACGTTGGACTATCTCGAGCTCCGGAATGTGGACATGTCCAAATGGCGCTGGAGCGAATCTGCGTTCCGAGGCGAGCTGCCTTTGGAGATCAAGGTCATCATGGCACCAGAGTGTTATCTGAAAGAAGCCAGGCCAGTCAATCCGGTGTTTCCTGCGCAGCAGATATGCTCTATCTGGGAGGGATGTCGGGCGTTCTATAAGGCGCATGAGGCGGTCAGTCGGATGTATGAAGAGGGAGCTTTGGACACCGAACCGTGAGTCTTGTCGACCGTGTCAGCTGTCAGGCCATCCACTAACCAGAGTTACAGGCGCTTCCGGACCAAGTTTGTCTTTCAAAACTTTGGCGCCGCCACTCCCAACCACCCAACCCTCGTCTCGCTCAAAGAATCTCTCTCCATCGCTCTCACCGGTCTTCAACGCGAGATCGGCCGATGGTCTCTCTTTGAGCCTCTTATCAGCATACAAGCTCCCGTCTCGCGTTATACGGAAGAAGGGGCAAAGATCTGGAGTATGGAGATACCCGGTTATCACGGGAGAAGGGAGGGGGGTGAGGACGATCTGAGGAGGGTATGAGAGGATGTGGTGAGCGCACGGTTGTAGCCTGAGAAGTATGTGTTGTCTCTTGTGCCCGTACACTGGCTAATGGGCAGGTGACAGAACTCGAAGCTGGTCGTCTGCAAATGCAAGGCTGGATGGAAGTAGTGGCCTTCTTGAACAAGATAGTGGATAGATAAAGCCAGTTGGTCGCCAGATCTTGGTGTGCTAGACCAATGAGTCATATCATTATGCATCGCACCGTTGCTCTATTCGCCTTCTTAGATCTCCTTGGCGGCCTCGGTAGCAGTCACACTGGGCGCCACAGCCTCAACAGAGTTGGCGACGACAGGTCGCATAGCAGGGAAAAGAAGGACCTCCTTGATGTTGCTGCAGTCGGAAAGGAACATGACAAGTCGGTCAATACCGAGACCCCAACCACCGGTGGGAGGGAGACCGTACTCGAGGCTATTGCACCGAATCAGCAAGAGCCATCACAGGAAAGGGAAGAGTACTCACGCATCGAGGAAAGTCTCGTCAACACCCTGCGCCTCCTCATCACCCTGATCCTTCTGCCTAACCTGCTCCTCAAACCTCTCCCTCTGGTCAAAGGGATCGTTGAGCTCAGTGTACGCGTTACAGATCTCCTTGGTGCACACGAACGCCTCGAACCTCTCACACAATCCCGGGCGGGATCGGTGGTACTTGGCGAGGGGCGACATGACTTGAGGGTGGCCGACGATGAAGGAGGGGTTGACACATTGGTTCTCGATGTACTCGCCGACGAGCTTGTCGAGAAGACGGGCGTTGGTCTGGGGTTCGGAGCACTTGACGTTGTTCTGTGACCAGGGTCAGTATGTCATCACAGTTGAAGAAAAGGGACGCACCTTGGCACAGAGGTCCCGGAGGAACTTGTTGGCATTGTCATCGTGCAAAGTATCTCCAGGAGGGAAGGTGACATTCAATTGCTTCTCAAGCTCTCCAATCATGTCAAACCTCTTCCATGGCCTGGCAAAGTCCACATCATAGCTCTTCTTGCCCTCGCCCCTGCCTTCGGGGTGGAAAGTCACCTTGGTGCTGCCGCCGGTAACCTTCTTGACCAAAGTCTCGATGAGCTCCTCAGTCATGTCCATGAGGTCGTACATGTCGGCGTAAGCCATGTAGAATTCACAGATGGAGAACTCGGGGTTGTGGGTCATGTCGATCTGCTCGTTTCGGAAGACACGTCCGATCTCAAAGACACGGTCAAGGCCACCGACGACGAGCTCCTTGAGGTAGAGCTCGGGGGCGATACGCATGAAAAGGTCGAGCTTGAGGTCGTTGTGGTGAGTGACAAAGGGCTTGGCGGTGGCACCACCAGCAATCATGCTCATCATGGGGGTCTCGACTTCGAGGAAGTCTCGGTCGATGAGGTAGCTTCGGATGTGGTTGATGACCTTGGACCTGGTGGTGAAGATGTCTCGAGTGGACTGGTTCATAATCAAGTCGAGGTATCGCTTCCTGTACCTGGTCTCGACGTCGACGAGACCCTCTCGGCCCGGGAGGAGGTGGAGACAGGGGGAGAGGAGCTGGATGGCGGAGATGGAGAGGGAAAGCTCGCCCATCTTGGTTCGGGAGGGGAAACCGGTAACACCAATGATATCGCCTCGTCGGATGACGGCGTGGGCGGCGGCAAACTCTTCAAGAGAAGGGGCGTTCTGGGCCTGGGCAAGGATCTGGACCTTCTGGCCGTCCTGCCTGATGTCGTAGAACTTGAGCTTGGAACCGCTCTCTCGGATAGTGTAGACACGACCAGAAAGGTTGATCTGCAGCCTGATCAGCTCGAGCTCGTCCGCCAGGTCTAGTCACTTACGGGCTCGTTCAATGTGACAGTCTCGCCCTTCTCAACCTTACCCTCCTGAGACCAGTCCTCCACAAACTTGCGGACACCACCGGAGGTGACATGGAACTTGTGGGGGTAAGGGTTGGGCTGCTTGGTCTCTCGGAGCTTGAGGATCTCCTTGGTTCGCATGTCGTAGAAAGCCTGCCTCTATGTCAATGCTGATCTTGGTCTGAAGCATTTGTCTTACAGTAGCATCAAGCTCGGGCTCTTCCTCCTTCTTCTCCTTCTGAACGGGCGCGGGCCTGGCAGCGGCCTTCTCAGCCTTCTTTGCGGCAGTCTGTCGCTCCTTCTGCCTCTTCTTGAGCTCACTACCAGACCGTTAGCTGAAGTAATACCACACGATAGTGTGAACGTACGACTTGGAGACCATCTCGCCGGTCACTTCATCCTTGTGGAGCTTGTTGGCCTCGGCGGCAGCAGCGGGGGCGTCGTTGGGAGCAGACATGTTGATCCACCGAATGGGTTTTGGTGCTTGAAATCGGAGTTGATAGGTGTTGCGGAGGGGGGCAAGTCTGGAGGCGAGGGCTGTTCTTGCGAGGGCTCTAAGCATACACTCGAAAGATGGACAGAGAGCGGGAGAAGGGTGGTTTTGCAAGAGGACATGAATCGAAATTTCCAAAATGGGGTGCAGATTCAATTTTGCCGATTCAACTGCGTTTTTCTGACAGTTGGTGTTTTGAAGCTATACCACGATTATTTCAGAGGAATGTTGAGAAATATCCTCTCAAGCACCGCCAGGCTCTTCTCCAGAGACCAGATCCCCTCGGGAAGCAGGTCTGTCTCCACTGCCGTCCACCTCGGCGACCTCGCCCCAGCTAGGGGCTCGACCAAAGTCGTGCGTATCGTCAGCTCATCATCACACTGAAACTCACGTCTGGATAGGACACAAGATACGGCCGTGGTCCTGGATCTCAGAAAGGTGGAACATCAGGTCGTGGTCACAAGGGTCAAAAGGCGAGGAATGGAAAGGGTGTGAGGCTTGGATTCGAAGGTGGTCAAACGCCCTTGTACAGGAGAATTCCCAAGAGAGGTTTCATCAACTTGTCAGTGTCCTCTTTACGTATCGTCAGCATAGACTGAACAACTCTTAGCACATCTAAAACCTACGCTCCCTTGTCCATCGCGACTCTCCAGTCATGGCTCGCTCAATCCCGCATCTCTCCCTCGGAAACCATCACCGTCGGCACCATCGCCCGTTCCAATGCCATACACGGCCTCTCCCATCTCCACGGCGTCAAGCTCCTCGGCGATGTTGACCCTTCCCTGCCTATCCCACCACTGAAGCTTGAGCTGTCGAGATACTCAAAGAGCGCGGCCAAGGCGATCCTGGCAGCTGGAGGAGAGTTGAAGGCGGTCTATCACAACAATCTGAGTTTGAGGAAGGAATGGTACCCGGAGAAGTTTAGGGGTAGGGAGATCCAGAGTGCAAAGCCGACGAGGAAGAATGATATTTGTGAGTCAACTGTGACTCTGTTTCAAGAGTCGCCGCTAATCCGAACAGTGTTCTATACCAACCCTAAGAACTTTGGATATCTTGCCGAAGAGACCCCCACCTCTGCTCGCAAGATGACCCCGGAAGAATGGGCCAAGGTTGAAGCTCCCCAATAGAATCCCCAATGTTATGACATTTGCATGATGTATTCTCTCTTCACCTCCTGTCATACCGCCTCTCGTCCCTGTATCTATCCCTGTCATCTCTTCTGTGCCCATCGTCCCGACCATGCCTTCTATCACGCTCACGCTCATCGCGTCTATCCCGCTCATCTCTTTCCGGCCTCCTGTCACGCTCATCCTTTTCTCGCTCGTGACCATGGCTTCGAGACGGAGGCTCGTCGCCTCGAGCCCTGGAACCACCATTTCGCTCCTCTCGTTCGAGCTCCCACCGGCCTTGACGCCAGTCATCCCCAGCAGCTCCTTTCGACCAAAACCCGTCGTCCTCTCGCTTGCCTCCCCTCTCTTCCCTCCCACCCTTCTTGTTCTCCCTCTCATCACCCCTCTCTTTATGACCAGATCCCTTGCCCTTTCCTTCCTTTTTTGCCCGCTTGGCCTCCTTCCTCGCCCGACGCTCTTCTTTGCTCTCTCCTTCATGTTTCCTCTTCTTTCTATCTTTGCCCTTGCCCTTGAGCGCTTGTTGCGCCTTCTTTTCGGCACGGATGAAGGCGGCCATGGGGTCTTCTTCGTCCAACGAGTCTTGACCTTCCTCTTCTTCTGACGAGTCGTCCGAGTCTGAGATTACTTAGTCAGACCAGGCTCAAGATGTCAAAATTGATACGCACCAGACAGGATAGGAGGCATAGCATTATAAACCGGTCCTTCCGGCTCTTCATACTCTCCTTCTTCATTCCTCTTTCCAGGCTGCTTGTAATTCTTCGTATGGTCCACCTACCCCCCATCAGCCCTGCCCCACACAACAGCATAGAATGACTCACTCGAAGCGTACGCCCAACAACCTGAGCTCCATTCATATTATCAACAGCCAATACCGTGCTTCGCTGGTCTTCATACATCAAGAAACAGAATCCGCGGGATTTGCCGGTTTCTTTGTCGCGGATGAGGTTGCAGTCCATGATCTCGCCGAATCTGCCGTGGGATCAGTATAAGATGATGTGTGGAAGAGGGTGAGAGGGTGGAGAGACGTACTGCGAGAAGATGGTGATCACATCGCCTTCTGTCAATTCGAATGCCAGTCCGCCGATATACACATACGCCGAGTCTAGGCAGGCATCAGCATGTATACCGTCGATGTTTGGAAAGACCCCTCAAGTTTAGAAGCTGCTTGGTAAGAGAGAGACAGACAGACCTTTGTATTCATCATGCCACGAGCCTTTTACACCCAGTTCCAGCTCTCTTTCGTTGATCCTGTTGATCTCCTTGACCGTACTGTGCGCAATATGTCAGCCTGAATTAGAATGAGTACCTTCTGGTATGTGCTCACTTCATTTTTGTCGAGCTTGAGGGGTTTATGGAAAGGAAAGCGATGGACAAGATTGCTGCAAGAAGGACAAGGATCACTTGGGCGCGGAGGGTGGAGGTTTTTGATTCCGCGAACATCCGGCCGGTCAGAGACGAAGTTGAACAACTGTGAACTGCAAGTACTCGTACTGAACGCGGGCAAGAGCTGATGATATGTTGGACTCGGTGGAAAGCGCGTACGTATCAGGTAGATTATGCAAAGTGTCTCTTGGCTCCCATGAGCTGTACGTATCAAAGATCCACAGATGCTAATGTCATAGCCCAAGAAACTGCCATTAGGAGGGCCATACTCATATATTATCATATGTTGTGCATATCTCCTCTGATGTCCCACTATCTCGCCAAGAAGTCTACCAGAACTCCCTCCTCTTCTCCCTGATACCCCGCAGAGTCCTCTTTCTGAATCCCCACTTGGCCTTTTGCTCCGCCAGCTCCTCCTTCTTGAGCTGAGCTTGGTCTTTGGCGAGAGGGGCGTAGCGGGGGATGAGACGGTGTTGAGCGGAGGGAATTTGGAGGCTACGGGGCGGGGTGAGCAAGTCATGAGATGAAGCAGTCGCAAGAGGCAGACAGATGACGGCGCATCAACCCCTCAGCATTGACGACTCACGCATCACCGATCTCCTTCCTTGACAAACCCTGTGCTCTCAGCTCCCTCATCTTCTGCACCACATCCTCTCCCCATTGCACCTTTTCACCATACCACACCCTCTCACCAACTTCACTACTGCTCGCCCCTTCCTCCCCACTCAGCCTCACCCCTTGCTTCCCCACAGTCCACTTTAAAAAGTCCGGCACACCTCCAGCCTTATAGCTTGGTGCTGAAGGTGGCGGAGTGTGGTGAAAGACGAGACCTTGAGAGTCTAGGAGAGGGGAGGCGGTGGTGAGGACGGAAGGGGTCTGGGGAGAAGGGATGGCGTGGGAAGTGCCGGATGTTGGTAAGGGCTGTTTGGGGTTGTGGGGGGAAGGGATTGAGGGCATGCGGGGAGGTCGGGCACGGTGGAGGACACCACGGGTGCCACCGAGGGCGGAGAGCGCTCTGGAGGGGAGGATGGTACGGGAGGACGAGGCGAAGGACATTTTGCCGATCTCTGCGCTTTTTCGAGCTGGAGAAGAAACACAGGGGGTTGGACCAGTCCGAGGTTGACGGATCTAGCTCTGGGTTGTGGGAATATAGCCGCAGATGGAGGATAGAAGCGTGCCAGAATATACCTAGAATATACCTCTCAGGCCATCTCGACAAAAGGTCGAAATTCAAGCAAGTCGGGTTTACGTAACGACAGCAGCGGCGACTTCCACTCCATCACGTGACTGATTTTTGGGCATCTGAAATGTCGCATCGCCGCTCGTTCGTGCTGTTTTTCCTGAAAGTCTCATTTATTTCCCTGCAACTCTGAACCAAATATCCCAATGGGCGAGCGCGTTGACAGGGCGTCCCTTGCTGATCGTCTCGGATGGTCTCGCCCACCCACAAGCCATTCGCTCATCGCTTACACACTAACATACCACCGCAGTCCTCCAGCAACATGCAGTCACCACTAGAAATTGACAAATCTTCCTCTTTCTTCTCTCCATTCATTAGTCGCTTCTACCACCACCACCCCCTTACAGCCCCTCTCGGCCTCCATTCTTGACTCGTCTTGACGACCAGTCTTCCCTTCCCCCCTCTTCGGCCAAACATCGCTAGTCGACGGCTCTGAAGACCTTCTTCCACACCCCTTCTATAATCACCTCAAGCCCTGGTGGCTACCTTCATTTACCCGACACACACACTTTCCTTTGACAATCTTCCAAGATGAAGATCCAGCACGGTGCCCTCCTCCTACCCCTGATCGCTTCTTCCGCTGTGGCCCTGCCTTCTAGACGGCACAGGCCTCTGTTTAGGAAGGTCTATGGCAAGAGGCAAGATGCGGTGGACACGGGGGTGAACGCAACCGAGAGCGCGAGTGGCTCGAGCTCGTCGACGGTGACCGAGAGTGCAACCGTGACTTCATATGTCACGGCGTCTGCTAGCGGCTCGGGGTCGAGCAACGCTTCCTCGTCCTATACCGAGTCGTCATCATACTCGGCCGCCTACCCGTCAGCTTCTTCCAACTCTACCGACCCGGATTACTCCTTATCCAACTCTACCTCCTCATACACCTCTTCCAACTCTACCGACTACTCCAACTCGACCCAAACCCTCAACTCGACCCTTCCTTCCTCCAACTCGACCAACAACAACTCGGGGTACGACACTCAGCTGTCCAGCCCCAACAACATCTCTTCCGAGGCCATCTCGGCTCTTCTGAACAACACTGGTTCTTATGCGACGTATACTTACTCGGTGTACTCGCCCGAGACGGTGACCCAGACGTCGACAGAGACGGAAGTTGTGACGGCTACGAGCACGGACAGTGGGAGCGCTAGTGCGAGTGCGACGGCGGCGAGCTACGCGGATGATGGGAGTGATGATGATGGAGATGAGGACGATGGAAATGACGATGACGGAGATGATGGGGACGATGGAGAGACGAGCAATGAGACGGATGCGGAGAGTTATTGGGATCAGATTGAGGCTGCGGCGGAGAGCTATGCGGATGCCTACTCGGGTACTGCTATGCCTACAAAGACGTTGGATGTGGTTCTTGAGCCTACTCAAGTGAGTCCCCTGCTGTTTTTATGTGATATTGTACTGACAAAACTGTAGGAGGCCGATGGTTCATGGGAATACATCATTCGCATTGGTACCGACGGTACAGCCACCGCCTTCCCCACTTGGTCTGCTAGTGCTACCGCTAGCAGCTCGGCCTCTTCCGGATCGAGCTCTGGCAGCTCTTCGGACGCCGACAGCCAATACGCTTCTGCGCCTATTACCACCTCTGCCGATATCACTGGTGCGACAGCTACCACTTCGAGCTACTCCAACCCATACCTGCAGAGCGCCACGAGCGTGTACGTTCCTGCTGCGGCCGCCACCGCCACTTCTTCATCAACAGATTCTAGCTCTTCGAGCGACTATTCCAGCGATGAGGATTCCAGTGATGAAGACTCGTCCTCTTCCAGCGCCGGTGTGTCTTCTTCGTCTGATGACGAAGACACGACCTCCTCGAGCGCGGATGAATCAGCCAATAACTCGGCAGACGACTCTTCTCCTTCGGCAACTTCTTCTACCCCTTCGGCGGCTTCAGCTACTGCTAGCTCCAGCCCTTACATGGTACCCGGCCACAGCTCTTCTTCTTACGGCGACTCTTCCAGCTCTGACGACACTTCGTCTTCGGCTAGCGCCTCTTCATCTTCGAGTGCTTCGGCGGCGTCGGCGAGTGCCACTACGGACCCCAACGCTGTTCCCGGCCATTCTTCTTCCTCCTACCACGATTCTTCTTCCGATGACTCTGAGGACCAGTCTTCCGACGACTCTGAGGACAGCAGTGATGATACGAGTGTGAGCGCGAGCTCCGAGGGAACTCCTTCTTCTACTGCTTCTTACGAGTCTGAATCTACTGCCTCTGCTTCATCGGCTCCCTTCCCTCCTTGGTACGGCGGCTCTTCCTCAGACGATGAGGGATCCTCCTGGTCCAACGAGACGGTCACCAACTCTTCTACCCCTTGGGCGAACGAGACTACCCCATATGACAATTCTACCTACCCTGGTTCCGACTATACTACACCGTTGAACGGCACAAACACGACCGTTCCTTTGAACGAATCTATTCCCATCAACTCTACCTACGGCAACTCTTCGGTCAACAGTTCGGTACCTTCCCTTGAGGGAGGGAACGGTACCTCCTCTTCTCTCGATTCTTGGATCGCTACCGCGACCGAGAGCGGAGATGGGCTTGTAACTGTGGCACCTACAGAGACGGCTACTGTCGCTGCTACCTTGACTTTGGCGAACGGTACAGTGGTTCAGCCGACTGCTTCGAGCAACGAGAGTGTGAGCGCGAGCGAGGAGGAGGCTAGTGCGACTGAAAGTGGATCTGTGGCAGGGTCCATGACGGTCTCCCAGCCTTCTTCTGGTGCGAGCGCGACGGAGTCCGAGGCATCGTCTAGCGAGTCTGCGATTGAGGGTATCGCTTCTCCATCTGCCTTCTCCTCCTCCGTCGACCCCACCATCACTGCTTCTTCCACCCAGGCTTCCAACACCACTCTCTCCCCTACCTCTTCCGACTCTGTCTCTGTGGCCGAGAACGAAGATGGTATCGAGACCGACTATGTGACGGCTTGGACCACCATCGACTACACCCAAACCTTGTCGGCTTCCTCGTCTGTCATCCCCACTGCGAGCGCGAGTGGTGTGGCGAATGTGAGCGACAGTGAGAGTACTGCTTCTGTTTCCTCCTCCTCTGAGGTTTCAGACAGCGAGGGAAGTACTCCCACCGCTTCCGTCACCAACGCCACTGCGTCTGCTTCTTCTGCCGAAGCCAGCGCTACCGCGAGCTTTGCTGAGGGCTTTGCCGTCGGTCTTGGCGACGCCTCTTCATTCGAAACGGAATCCCAGTCCGCGACCGAGTCTGCGTCTTCCGCTTCTAGCGTAGAGACCCAGTCCGCGTCAACAGCCTACAACGAAACCATCCCTACTTCTTACTCGTCATACTCTGCCTCTGAGGGAACCGGTTCCATCTCTGCTTCTTCCGCCAGCGTGACCGAGTCTGCTTCCTCATCTGAGGCGAGCGTGACGGCGTCTGCTACGGAGAGTGCGAGCGAATTGGAAGAGACGGCGTGTGCGAGCGAGAGTGCGGGGCTGGAGGAGAGGGCTGTGGATGATGATGAGGAGTATGAGGAGGTCTGGGTCAACGAGGATGAGATTGAGGAAGGATGGGAGATTTTGATCTAGAGCGATGGAATCGGAGTTGTTTGTAATATAATCGCTTCATGCGCATAGTATAGTTGAAATCCAGTATAGGTAGTTTCATGAATATGGCTCTGGCAGTCACAATGCTCCCCACACAATAATATCTTCCCGCTGCACGTTCTAAGAGAATAGGATGGGCGATTTGGTCCCGTGGCCGGGGTGAGTCACTGTCTCCCGATTGGCCTTCCTTCCGGTCCGTCCGGTTATGACCACCCCTCCTTTGCCGTCCTGCCGCATTCGCCAGCCAGCAGGTGTATTGGATCTTCGCTGTTGCGACTATTCGTTATACCTCCAGAACCCCCTTATATACCGCGGAATACTCCTCTCCATTTCCCCATCACCCCGCACTTTCACCACTTTATATCTGAATCAAGCGCTACCCGCAGCAACATTCCCCAGCCATGCCCACCGCAACAGCCACCACCCCCACTCTCCCGGCCAACCCGCCACAAGCATGGGCGAAACCGACCCTGTCCAACACGTACGGCGGCAAGACCTACGAAGCCACCCATCCCCAGCTGTTTGCTGTCGAGTTTACAGCCGGAAAGGGTTTGGAGGAAGGGTATGCCAGTCGGCTGGTCGCTGTCAGGGTACGTCTTTTTCCTTTGCCGATGCCTTCTTTGGGACAGACACATTTGGGCAAGGAGCTGATAGGGGGAATAGAACTATAGCCCGGGAGAGGTGATCACACCGTTGACAAACATCTCCTTGGCGCCCGAGAAGGCGTATTCTTCCGTGCAGTTTGGCCCGGGCCCTAGAGACCACCTTGAGCTCAACTCTGATCTCTTATTCAGTACGCCCCCCTTCCTTTCCCCTGCTCTGATTGAGACAATCCCACTAACGACACTCCCAGTGAACCACTCGTGCTCGCCCACAGCCCAAGTCCACCTCCCACCCGACCAATCCCAATGGGCCGTCCACGCCTCCTCCCACGGCAACGGTATCAAGAAGGGCGATGCTCTCACATTCTTCTACCCGAGCACGGAATGGGATATGGCTCAAGGATTCGAGTGTGCTTGTGGTTCCGACGTGAGTCTTCATTCACCTTTTGAGCGTGTCTGGGGGTTGCGTGATATGGTGGAATGAGTGAAAGGCTGATGGGGATATACAGAACTGCTTGGGGCAAGTGTACGGCGCAAAGCACATCCCGGTTGAAGAGCTGAAGAAGCGGAGTTTCATCAATGAGCATATTCTGGCACTCAAAGAGGGGCAACAGGGGTCTGGCGTCGTCGGAGCGAGGGGCTTGTGTCGAGCCTAGGTCCGAGTAGGATCATCGGGTAGACGCGGGGGCTTGTACTTAGGGGACGATCTTGGGGGTGGAATCTGTAGATGGGGCAATCAAAAAGAAGGCAGAAGCCAAAGTGAAGCATGCATAGCAATCAGCTCTTGATACTTTCCTCCATCGTCCATCGAGTCATGGGCGCAGTAACGCTTGGCTAACGTAAAGGCGGGGTAAAGCGCGACTCGGCTGTCCGGATTGTTTACTCGTTTTGCCACTGATTTGATAAGGGACGCGTCTGTTGCCTCATTGGGACATGGATGGGGACATGGGGATGGGTGGATGCAGGAGGGGGAGAGGGAGATGCATGCAATTGCTCCCGAGGATACACCACAAGGGAGCTCACAGACCACCCTGCAGGTCCCCTTATCACACGTGTCCGCCGTCCCATTACCCCCGCTTTTCCATCTCTATTTCTCATCTGCCTCTCTACAATCTCACCCCCACTGCCCACCCACAACTACAACTACAACTACAATGCCCATCCCGCCCCGCCCCATCCCCAACCACCGCCACCGCGCCCCTCCCCGCCCCCCCGGTAGCAACGTCCCCCGCAAGTCTCTACCTTCTTCCTCCGCTTTCTGCTCTGGTAGCGGCGAGTGGCGCGCCGAGATGGCGCTCCTGCCTGAACTGCGCGCTTCATCAGCGGGGGGCAGGTTCGGTGCGCTCAGCCCGACTGCTGGGCCTTCGGCGACGGCCGGTGGGGCGTTGATAAGGGAAGGCGCGAAGCCTTCGCCTTCTTCATCGCCTCTGGGGGAAGGCGAAGTGCACGAGAGAGATGGTCGGCGGGAAGTGCCTCTGGAGAGATTGATCAATGATGGCAGGGGTAAGCGGGAGAAACGAGGTAAGCCACCCCTTTTCACGCGTCTTGCCTGTAATTGTAAATGTTTTTGCATAAACTAACGCATCGCGTAGCTACGACGGCGGCAACGTTGGGGTTTGATTTCGTGCCGAACCCGAGTGTTATTGCCTTGCCAGAGATGGAAGACGAGGCGAAGCCTGGGCTGCTCACGAGTACCAAGTCGACTGCGCCAGCCCTGGTACCCGACCGCGCGTCTCCAGCACTCTCCGCCACGCCCACCACCCCCGCCCTCTTCTCTACCCACCTCCATCCCGACGCTTCTTCCGATTCCGAATCTGAAGGAGAAGACGATTGGGAGCATGTCTCCATGTTTGGACGCGCCGAAGATGAAGAAGGGGATGAAGAGCGGGACGAGAATGTGGATAGTGATGGCGAGGAGGATGTGATCGTCTTGGGGGAGATGGAGATGGAGGAGGATATGTCGAGGCTGGATCTCGCGCCTCCTGCGCCCACGGGGAAGGGCAAGAAGGAGGGCAAGAAGGAGAAGAGGGGTAAAGTCAGCTATGCGGCTGCCGCGCTGGGCGTGAGGTTGTAGTTGATCAGTCATCAGTGTCTGTACCAGTACCAAGTTGTGGCATCGAATAGTCAAGTTGTGGCATGAAATAGAAAAGACATACAAGAAATCATACCCGTGTAGAATGCAACGTGTACAACAATGTACTACTGTACACAGTGCCTTGAAGAAGCATCCGAAACGATCTGAATTCTGAATTCTGATCAAGTGTATTGCCTTGAGACTTCTTGGTTCTTTTCGATCCGACAGTGGCGAGACAGCTTCTGGCTTACAAAGTGTACACTGGCAGCAAAGGCCGAGGCGGGGGGAGGACACAGTGAGGGCCATCAACAACATCTCCCTGTCCCCATAGATGTCACCTCGGCACCCTTTTCTGCCTCTTCGGAACGCCGCAAACGACGCATGTGGTCGGCATCACGACTCGGTCTGTTGGCGAAAAGGTCTGGATTGCGACTACTGTACACAGATCGGGCGAGCATATCTCCCCCACCCCGCCCCGACTCCGAGCCCGGCAGCTTCAGCCTGGACGGCGAGCAGTTCAAACAGAACAAGATAAAGACAGCCCACTCACGTCTTCTCTACCTTACCCGTCCCACCATGCCGCCATCCCAATCCACCCCTCTCCTCCGCCAACCCTCCTACACCCCCTCCAACCCCGCCCCTCTCCCCTGGCCACTGCTCCTCCCCATTCTCTTGCTGCGTATGGCCGACGCCGCCACCTACATGCTCATCTTCCCCTTCATCACATCCTACATCATCTCCCTCAACCCGCCCCCAACGCTCATCGGTTTCTACGCTGGACTAGCCGAAGGGTGTTTGATGGGCGTGGAAGCTGTTTGTGCGGTGGGGTGGGGGTGGGCGGGGGATAGGTGGGGGAGGAAGAAGTGTTTGGTTTGGGGGGTGGCGGTGACGGGGACGTTTGGGGCTGTGGCGGGGTTTGGGAAGAGTATTGGGTGGGTCATATTCTGGCGGGCTATGTGTAAGCTCTTCCCCTCCAGATCTGGCTTTCACTCACGCTTGGAATTCTAGATGGATTCACTCCTACCGGCGTCCTCACCAAGACCGTCGTAGCCGAGATTGCGCACCCGACTAACCGTGCTCGCATCTTTGCCATCTACTCGCCTGCCTTTTCTGTTGGGATCATCATTGGAAGTCTCCTCGGTGGGGAGCTTGCAGGGCCTGCAAGGAGGGTGGGACAAGATTGGGCATGGTTGCAAGAGTATCCTTATGCGCTGCCCGGGGTCGTGAATGGGGTTTTGTGAGTGCGAATTTTGGAGATAGATAAAGCTGATTTGAGATAGGACGATGGTGGTCTGCGTTGTGGCGTGCTCCATGCTAGAAGAAGTGAGTTTCGGTACAGCCGATGTGATCGAGCACTCAAGCAGATGTCAGTCCAAGAAAGACCATGGCAAAGATGACGAGGATGAGACGCCAGTCAACAAGTACAAAGCCATCTGGCGGGTCCCGCACTTTGTGCACGCTGTGACCATTTTCTGCTGTAAGTGCTTTGCTTTTCATACAGATGAAGAGATTCAGTTGACATATATGTAGTCTTTCAACTCGGTAAGCCTCAACACAATCTTCCAGCAAGTCAACTCACAATCTCGCAGGAACATTCGCATTCGAAGGTCTCTTCACCATCTACACCTACACCCCCATCCCCCTCGGCGGCCTCGGCCTTCCCATCCGAACAATCGGCCTCATATCCTCTCTCTCCTCCCTCCTCTACATCCTTGTCTCACCCGTACTCTCTCCCTGACTCGAAGCCAGATACGGCCTCAAAAAGAGCATGCTCCTCACCACCGGTACCATGCCCCTCGAAGCACTGATTATCCCCATCGCGCAGTATGCCGCGACCCTCTCAGGCAGAGGCGGCTGGGGAAGAGCGCCGACATGGGTGATGCTCGTGATCCAGGTGGGGATGAAAAACTTTCATTGTATGGCGTGGCCGCAGAACGATCATCTGATTTACTCGGTGCTGGATGGGTATCCCAGGCTGGTGGGGAGTGCTAGTGCGGTGGTGCTGATTGCTGGGGTGAGTCTTCCTCTCCTCATGCTTCGCATATGCCGATAAATGCGCTGAGCTGATGTGAAAATGTAGGCGACCGGCAGAGCCGTGGGCCCCGTCATCTCTGGGTACGTCAACTGCCACAAACTCTCACAAGATTCTACAGTGCTTACGTTGAACAACCCGCTTCTCCCTCCTGTACCAACACATCCCTCCCTTGGGGCTCTAAAACTCCCTTCCTTCCGTTCCTTGCATCGACACCACGCGCTCAACTACACCTTTCCCCGCATCTCTCCCCGCAACATCATCGGCATTAACCCCTATCGCCATCGCCTCCCTCCCTCGGCAAACATGGACCAACGTGTGAACCAAATAGCTGGGTATACTCCATCTCGACACAATTACCCGCGTGGACCCTAGGCCGGCAGTTGTCATGGATCGTGGTGCTGCTGATATGTCTGCCAGCGCCACTGATGACGGGGTTCATACCGGAAGGACTGCACAAGGTTGACGATAAAGAGGAGACGCTTGGGGAGTTTGTTGGGGGAAGAGCCGAGGAAGGGCCCGAGGGTGAGGAAGATGGTCGTGCAGAGCTTGGGCAGGGGAAGGATGTGGGGTATGGTGCCACAGAGATCCGAGAGCAGCCTTGAGGTATTAGGTTCGACGACTGCAGCGTCTATCGTCGCCTCACAGTATTCGTAGAGAGGAGAGAAGATTGCCGATTTTGGTTCTGGAGGGAAAGGCACCGGCACGGTAGACTGTTGTATAGACACTTGATGTTATCGTCGTACCTACCATATGCCATATGGCAACCTCTGTGGCGTTTAGATACCATGATCAGCTCGCGTAAGCCTGAGCGCCACCGATCTTGTCTGTCCTCGAGGGTTGGCTACAGCGAAAGGTTCAGAACATAGGTCAATGACGACCCAGATAACCTGGGGTCAAGTGAGACATCGGCGAAAAAAAAGTTACAAGGCTCGAGAGGAGAGATGGATGGGCCAGATGGCGTTGATGATGGAGGTTGATGGTGGCGATCAGCCGAGGATCATTGTTGCGAGGGAGTCAAAGGTGACAAAAGGTGACAGGAGGTAGCAGGTATCCCAGGTAGCCGATACCAGCAGACCCTGCATGGCGAGGTACCGAAGAGGAACGGTGAAGCTTGAAGAAGATGGTGAGCATGTGTGCCCAAGGGCCGTCACGGCGCACTGCCGCCGTCCAGCAGACAGCAGACAGGGACAGCTCGAGCGAGTCAGCCTTCCCTGGTAATCTCCCCAATTCACCGAAAGAAGAGGGAGGAACACTCAACACAGCGACGAACAGATAGCCGGAAGCATGTACTTGTACGCCCCTTTCGATCTCAATCCCAGCCACATCCATCACTGTCCCCTGGACCCATTGCCGCAGCGACATCTCGCCTTGCCCCAGACACCACGTGGATGCTGCAGGCTTGAGCTTGGTAGCTCGTCATTAGCGGTGTCGCAGGGGATGGCCAAGAGGCCGGCAATGGACGATGGATGCAGCGGGATGGTTGCCCCCCTGTACCTGCAGAGCGCCACACAGTGTGGCAAGTGGGAATACCCCGATCGCTGGCTTACGTCGGCGGCAGACAGAGAGGATGAAAGAGGAGATAGAGTTTCGCTGCGATCCCATCTGCATCTACCACGACTGAGACGTTCATAATCAGTCCTTTCTCCTCAACGCCGCCTTCTTCCCACCATGCCCTCATAACCTCCCGCCACTCTCCACCCACCATGCCCCATCCCCCTGGCGACCCCCGCGACCCCCGCGACTACTCCGCCAGCAGCAAGCCCAAGGGCAAGCGGCCCTCCTTCTCCAGCAGCGTCGAGCAGAACGCAGCCCATGCTGTCAGAGCATTCTCGGCATGTCGCAACTGTCGCAACAAAAAGGTCAAATGCATGCCCGGCCCCCCTCTCCCCTCTGGCTCTGGCTCGCCCTCCTCCCTCGACAACCCCGGGGCCAACCTCGGCCCGTGCCAGCAGTGTACTCTGGCAGGCGCCGAGTGTACGTACCCGCCGACGAGGGACCGAGCAGCGTACAGCCGGCAGTATGTTGCTAATCTTGAAGCTCGAGTGCAGAGTCTCGAGACAATCCAGGCCCGGGTCATGCCCATGCTCGAGTTTTTCGAGAGCAGCGCTAGAAGGGGAAGCTTTGGGCCTCTACCAAACCTGTCTGGGGGGTCTGTGGACGAGCACGAAGGTGAAGACGAAGGCGGGGAGCCACCAGACTCTGCCCACCTCACGTCGGACGTCGAGGATGCTGGGCAGATTACCACCGACGACAGGGGCAACTATCGCTGGATCGGCTCTTCCAACACCCTCTCTCTCCTCGACTCTTTCTCTGGCCGACCAACGCCCGGTCCTTCGCACTCTGCTCCTATCCCAGTCGACACGCCTCCCATATCCAGCACGTCTCGCGATGCCAACCCATACTTTGGTCCGGTAGCTGGCTCGGGCGTAGTCAAGGCCCTGCCGGATGTCGACCAAGTACAATACCCGACAAGAGAAAAGGCCATGGAGATGATTGATGCTTTTTTTGAAGACGTCCATCCGTGCTTGCCGTTACTGCTAGAGTTTGAGTTCAGGAGAGACTTTGGGTTGTTGATGGAGGCGAGGAGGGGCGGTGATTTGTCCTGGGGCGGTGGCGTGAGTCATGGTCGTTCTATGGGCGTGACAGGGCTAACGTGACTGTAGTTTGTGTCTGTGCTGTTTGCAGTCTTTGCCCTGGGCGAGCGGGCTATCGTCAACTCTCGAGCTTGGGCAAGGGAGACCGACAAGGCGCAAGAAGGTCTGGACGATGGGCACGAGACTGTCCTCCCTGGTGAAGCCGAGGCCGGTGTCATCTGGTACGAACGGTACGTCTCGCCCTCCCCTTCTTTGCGCTTTTACTGACTTGCCTTAGCGCCCAAATCCTTCACTATACAACTCTGAAAGACGTCAACATCCACCAAGTACAATGCCTCACCCTCCTTGCCACCTTCCAAGCCTCCGTCAACGCCATGCCCATGTCCTGGCTCCTGGCTGGCCAAGCTATCCGCGTCGCCCAAGACTTGGGCTTGCACCGCTCCACCGCGCGCCTTCCCATGCCTTTTCACGAGAAACAGCTCCGCTCAAGATGCTGGTGGGCAATCTATGGTCTGGAGAGGATGATGTCCATCTCCTTAGGCCGGCCGTTGGGCGTGGACGACCAGGATGTGGATGTGGCGTATCCAGTGGAGATTGATGATGCGACGCTGGAGACGGTTGGGTCGCAAGTGACGGGTACGCCTCAGGATCTGGAGAGGGAGAAGGAAGGGGCGACGATGAGTGGGTTTGTGGCTCTTACGAAACTCTGTAAAGTTGCAGGGAGGGTGGTGCATCTGTTGTACCGCCCGTTGAATGGGAGGTCGGTCAGTGATCCGTCTTGGGTAATGTCTCAGCAGAACGCTATCAACAAGCTGGACAAGTTGTTGAGGGACTGGCTGGAGCATGATGTGGTGAGTCTTTGTTCAATGCTTTTTGAATAAATGCTGATACAATGGTAGCCGTCGAAATACAAGGACCCCTCAGCGACCCGCGAAGTGTCCATGCTTTCTGCCATCCTCTCCAACTCGTACTTTGCCATTCTCATCACCCTCCACCGCAACTTTCTCCCCTCCTCCCCCGAGTACCCTCGCCCCAAACCACCTCTTTCTTCACAATCCCTATCGCACTGCGTCGACGCCGCCCGTTCCGTCATCCACATCGCCTCCCAGAGCCGTACTCTCGTCCCACCTTCACACCATCTCGCGGTGCATGGGCAGTATCTCTGGTCTTCGGCTGTGATCTTGCTCTTGTGCGAAGTACATGCGAGAGACCAAGTCGTGATGGAAGCTGTCGGCTCACAAGTCGAAGCCGCCCGACGATGTCTCCAAGCTCTCGAGCCTATCTGGCCCGGTTCACGAAAACTCAAAGAACTCCTCAACGACGTCTCCTCCCGCGCTAAAGAAGTCGTCACGCACCCTCCCCTCGTTGATCCGCGGGGCAAGAAACGGAAATCGTCTTCTGGGAAGGAAAGGCAGATGCCCCCGCCTTTGCATACGCTGCAGGGCAAGTCGACGCCTTCTCCGGTCATACCCCAGCTCCACATGTCTGCTTGGCAGAGCTCGCAAGTTCCGGGGCCGGCGGAGAAGAGGCAGAGGCTGTATGAGCTTTCTGATGCGCGTACGCCGGCGAGGGAGGATGATGTCACTCCCCTCTCTGCGTCCTCCTCCCAGGCATACTACCCTTTCCCGGCGTATCACCTCCCTGCTACTCCAGCCAGACAGTCCTCCCTCCCAATTGTCAACCAAGACATGATGACACCTTACGACATGTCGTTCGACCTGGGCGGCGTCAATTTCGAAGGGCTGGAGCTGCTGCAAGGGTTCTCGGGTGGTGCGGCCGGGTTTTGGAATACGTTCTCGTATGTGGATGGGACGTATCCGTCTGGAGGAGCAGATAGTGGGCAGAGCTCGGCGCCGATGTCGGCGAGTGCGAGTACGAGTGGGCAATACATGCCGAGTGGGGAGCAGTTGACACCTGGTTCGGCGTCAGGCTCTGGGGTGTCGCCGTCGGCGTGGCAAGGACAGGGGCAGGGACAGTTCCTGCAGACTCCCGGCGGGGGAAGTTATGTCAACCAGGGTGAAGGGTACGTGTCTAGTGATCAGACTGGGCAAGGGCAAGGCGGCCATCAGGTGCAGGCGCAGGCGCAAGGGCAGGCTGCCTTTTGGGAACAAGTCACCGGGAGTACGTTTGATTGGCAGGCAGATCCAAATGTGCCGTTTAACATATAATTGTTTCTCTCATAGCGCCGAAGATCAAACTCGAGCTCGCGGCTGTATAAAGGCCACAGAAGTGAATCTTGGAAATAGAGAAGGAAAGCAGAGAACGGAAAGAAGAATAGTGATCTGTAGAGTAGTCTAACCGTATCGAACGTTGGATCTTTTGTAGCATTTATCATAGTCTCTTCTGGGTTTTGGTGTTATATATTGGTTACGGCTGTTTATGCAAGTCTCATAGATACAGAGGATAACGAAGTAGAAGAGGCAGAGAAGACATCTCCGCAATCCTTTCTCCTCATCCTGCTCTCAACATATCATAACACAGATAAGAGCAGCGTGGTGCAGCAATGTGCATGCTCGGAGTATGCCAATCGTCCATATCCCATCATCGGGGTCGATCATCGGCTATGCTACAGTCTACTCCAGAGAAACGCGAACCCCTTGTTGTCACGAAACGAGTGCTGATGATGTATATAACAGGTGACTAGATTACAAAGCGGAAAGTATTCGTTACAACTATGTGGATCTCATACGGAGAAGGGGACGAGGGACGAAAATAATTCGATGTCGGTCAATATGCAGGGTATCGTGATATACAGGGGACGGCGTGAATGGGACCATGTTGGGGTATTCTACAGTTGGACGGTGCAATGTCTATAAGTCGAGTTTGAACGTCGTCGGATGGTGATGGTATGACACAAAGAGGAGTTTGATGATATGTATTACAGTTGCGACGGGGGCCGAGGAGTGAAGACCGTGTTCGGTGGGACGATACCGCTGAAAGAAGGTCAGCTCGGTGGCTGTCAGATCAGTTGAGTGAGGCCTTACAGGTAAATGAGCAGTTCATTCCCACTGGGCGAGCCTTGAAGAACGTGAGACCATTTCTGACAGGTGTGCCGAATGCGTAGAGCGTCATCAGGAGAAGTAAGCTGCAAGAGACGTCAATATCCGATATCAACCCCGAACATGGACAACGGCTCACTCGGGAGAGGAGATATACTATGCGCGCTGTGTGTCAGCACCGTTCAGTGCGACTCATTTGCCAACCACCAAAACTCACACAAATGCCCCTTACCCAAATCACTCTCTGCCACAGCCAAAATCCCCGGCCTCTTCCCCTCCTTCTCCACACACAAACACTCCACATACCTCACAAAATCCACCCCCACCCCCCTCGCCAGCGCCGTATTGACAAACGTAATCCCATGATGCGTGGTCGCCACGGGCGGGTAGGCAAAGAGGATAGCGCCGCATGTTGCGCGGAAGAGGGAGGGCATGGCGAGGAATTTGGAGATGATGTTGCAGCCGTAGGGGTTGTTGGCTACGGTGGATATGCGGTTCATCATTTCGCGCCAGCAGTATGTGACGAGGTCTTGGGATTTGGGGGCGTCGAGGAGCTGTTGGATCGCGATAGCTCCGTCCTGCTTTCTATCAGTCATGATCCGGGTGAGAGCTAGATACGTACTTGGTTTGTACAAGCCAAATCTACCCAGCGGCCATTGAGCATTTCGATGATTCTCTTGTAGATCGGCCAACAATTATCTTGTTTGTACTGCACAATATACTACTCTTGTTCAGCATCTTCACCTGGACTACAGACTCCAAACGACTCACAATCTGCCACAACCTCCTAGAACCATTCCTCAACACGTCAAATAACCCAATCTCGAACAACGCCTGCCCCACAACTTCCGCCAGGTCGTCATATGTCATGATCCGCATGAGGACGTGAATTCCGTAGATGTTGTTTGAAATCGGTATGATGTCGTGGCTGTTGCTCGTCAGCTCAGCTTCGAGTATGGGAGAGTGGACAAACACGATTGAAAGCAGAAAGTTGAGGCGGTCCATGCTGGAGCCGAGTTCTAGAAGGCGGCGGCAGAGGTGATTACCCCAGTGAGAAGTGCAGAGACGTGGAGCAAACTCGATGATGGATCGGGTGATGGCGCCGACGTATGCTTGGTTGGATGAGACGAGCTTTTCCTACTATTCGTCAGCCTCTACCTTTTCATAGTCATGTTGACTCACACTCAGAGCATCAACAGCCTTCTTCAGCCCAGCACTAGTTGACGATCAGCATGCACCACACCGGAAGCACGTCTACACTCACAAATCGTCGCTCTCGGTAGGCACATGATGCGTGGCAATAACCGACACCACGGGCATCACCATCTCCAGGTCCATCATATCAAAATTCATCTTTGACGTCAACACAACCTTCATCAACTGCGATGACTCGTCGGGACTCGGTACCACCCCCACCGCTCCCATGGCTGACACCACTTGGGTATGAGCAGGAGGTGCCTGGAGGTTCGGCTTGGCGATGGGTTCGTCGGCGACGGAGCGCTCGGAGGTGGGAGGTGTTATGGCGGAATGCGAGAATGGGTGGGGGAGTGGGGAGAAGCCGGACTGTGAGGATGGAGGTGATGAGTGGGGGGTGGGGGACGATGGATATGATTTGACGATATGGTGCTGGAATGGCGTGAGACATGTTTGTCATTGTTCGAGAAGGACGTACCATGATATCAATCAGCCTCTGATTGTCCTTTTCGAGCGCGCTAGCTCTAATCCGACTCTTGTCCAGCTCCTGTGTCTCACATAAGCCTCAGTGGTAGGGAAGAGTCGTAGTCGCACTTACCAACTTGGTTTCCGCCAGTTCCTGCTCCAGACTCGACGCGGGCTTCATGTTGGCGAGGCAGCACTTGTCCATCCTTCGGACATAAGGCGAAGAGCTGGGAGGACACAGCTCAACGTCTTTCGAAGGCTGAGGCTTGTTGTCGACTTTAAATGGTAGTAGACGGGAGCGGCTCGGGATGGGCGCGGTGAGGTCGGTTGCCGTCATGGGTCGCGTAGGCGGGCCCCAGAGCTCTTGGTCAACACCAGGAAGAAAGGGAGTGGCGACCGGCCTCAAAGTCGTCACACCAATAGACAGGTCAATATCATCGAGCTGTAAGGGCATAGTTAGTCGTCGTAACCTCCCATCAACGGGGGTCACTCACCGGACTATGCGTCTGCGTCAGGGTGCCTTCACTGCTCGGTCTATCCACTATATTCAGGTCACTGAGAGCCTTGTCTGCGGGATTGCTGTCCTTGCCGAGCGACTTGCGTGTGGACAGCGGGGGCTGGCTGGCGGTGCGGACGAGGGGCGGCGGGCAGGGGGATACATATTGGCCAGGGTGGGGCCTGGCGGGGGCGATGGCGGTCCTCTGGGGGCTGAGGACGGCCATGGGGGATGCTGAGGAGATGGAGATGCAGAGTTAAAAAGAAAGAAAAAGAAAGAACATCGTTCATCCCTTTACGTGCCAGTGACACGCCTGGGGTCCGCCTTCCTCGTGCCGGCCGCCGGTACCCTTCTTCGGGGAACCGACTCTCGCACCCAGCTTTTGTCAACAACCTGCAAACAACCTGTGGCGTATCTGGTCAGACTCAGTGCCGCTACCACGTCGAGCATCTTGGAGCATGTGGACTTTTGGATTTCATGGTTCAATTCGCGGGGCATATATAACGGCTGGTGGGATGACGGCACCTCAATTGCGCATCCTCGTATCACTCTCCACCCTCACCCGAACATATGTCACTGTTCAGCTCTCTTTTCCGTGTCACGTCTGAGATATCGAACGTCACTCTACTCAACGTCCAGCTGGGAGATCGGACATGGGATGAACGTGAGACTACTGTTCATCATTTGGAATGTGTTTTATCATCAGGCAGCGACATGAGCGAGGAAGAGAGGATAGAAAAAAGTGGTAAATTTCCATGAGGCGTTCCGTGATGCTTCTCACGGAGACTATCATTTGTGAGTCCCTTCTTTTCAGGATGGGGACAGGTGACTAACGTGATTCTCAATGCTGCCTTCCAACCCCAATACATATCAATTGAGAATCTACGTAGCTGGCCTAACCAGACGAGCCACCGAACATATCCCCTCCTCACCAGCACAACATACTCCAGTGGAAATACACAACCAGTCTATCATCGACAGAACGCATGCTGCTATCCTGGATGCCTTTCCTTCCCACGACCGAAAAAACAGTCATTTCACACTCGGTCAGATAAGCCTCGAGCCAGAGTTTAATCACAGTCCCACTCTTGGCAAAGACGTGGAAAAGAGCATCAAATGGCAGGAGACAAACAAAGAGCTCGTGACGGAAAACTATAGACGGAAGAAAAGAGAGCTTCTGCAGGCATCAACATGGAGGCGTGAGTTGTCAGAGAAGGACGAGGAGGAGCTTTCAAAGATACAGAAGATGGAGAAGCGGTTGGTTCTGGAGGAGGTTTGTCCGTGAGCTAGGTATTCTAGGTGCATCAATCGGATCAATTTCCAGGGGAGGAGGAATCATACATGATCCATGCAGAGCAGGGTCTTGCTGGGATTTGCCAAGCTCATGGGTTGCCAGTACTGACTGCTTTCACCCGTATGGGAGGGAGAGCAACATTGGGTAGAAGTTGAGAAGCGGACTGAGGACGGATGCGTCACCATGAAACCAAATGTACTCATCTGTTGTTTGGTTTCACAGCTCTAGCATAGACAGACATACACAGTATCTACAAAAAGATCTACCCATTCTCTCCGGCATCCCAAGGTACTCTCACGCCTTAGCCTTCTTCATGGCCGCAATCTTGGCCTTCCTCTCTTCCCTCCTCCTCGCCATCTCCTTTTCCTTCTCCTCCTTACTCATCCCGGCCAGTCCCCCTCCACCGGTGGCAGTTCCAGCACTCAATTCTGACGAGAAACTGGGCGCAGGTGATTTCGCCATAGCAGAGACCTGCGACAAGGCGGGTGAAGAAGTGAGTATGGGCGTCTGGGCGGCGATGGGGGACGGGGTGGGTTTGATGGGTTTGGGAGCGAGTGTCGTGGGCGGTGAGGGAGGTGTAGGGGAGGCGCTGACAGCGGGAGCGAGGAGGGGGGCTGGAGGTGGAACAGGGGATGGGACGGGGATCGGCTCCGGCTTTGCCGCAGGAGCAGGGGTGGATTTGGGAGCAGGCTTGGCCTTGGGTGTGGGTTTGACGTAGTAATCTTGCGGTGGTGGAACGACAACTTCCGGTACCGGAGCGCTCTCAAACGCCGCTATGCCCCTTGTCAGCCCCATACTACCGTCTACCTGAAGGGACTTACACCAATCATCTTGATCCGCATTGACGTCCATCAAGTCGTCATTACCCCAGGCATTCATCCCATCATCATCATCATCCTCGTACTCTTCCGCCAACTGGTCTGCCAAGCTCTTTTGTTTGGCCTGAGGCTTTTTAGTGACACCGCCGAGTTTCAAACCAGGTTTCGACGAAGAGGCAGAAGGCTTTGTGGGCTTGGCCTTCGGCTTCATCTTCATACCGCCAATCGAAATTGTAGACTGGGGAGGTCGGAAAATCTCGTCGCTTCCTCTCGGCGATGCCGTTTGCGACGCGACCGCGCTAGGTGCTTGAGAAGTCCCAGTCGACCCGAACCCTCCAGACCCCGAGCCTTGCGGTGCACCCAGCCCAAACCCTCCCGGCATACCCCCACCACCACCCGATTGGATCTCCGCATGCTCTTCGCCTTTACTCAACCCCTTACTCAAACCCGTCAATGCCCACCCTGCGAGCGCGCCAGCGGCGGATGATGCTGTTGATACCGTATTGGCAGACGAGGTTGGGAGTGTAGAGTTGGAGGAGAGAGAGGTGACCGGCGGATAGGCGGCGTGGCCGTCTGGGTTGGACGATTTGGGCATGGATTCGGCGATGGAGGTAATTTTGGCCATGAACATGTCGACCGCTTTGAACGCCTGATCTCTGACCAGCCTTTATTTCTCGTCAGCTGAATCCAGCTTTTGAGCGCAAAGACTCACTTTTCTTTGTCTACCAAGCAGAAACAAACACCCGGCAACACCCTCCCTGCCAAATCTTCCTTCTCCCAGATATCCACACTCGCCATAAACGCCATCAAACCCGCAACCCTCGCATGGACAAACGTATCTCTCAGACTCCTCGAAAAGGCGGGTACGAGCACCTTCTTCTTGGTATTGTAGCCTAGAGAAGGAGCAAGACGGCCGAGCAGGATACAAGTGTTGGTACGGATGGATGGTTCGGGGTCGGCTTGGGTTTTGGCGAGGAGACGGAGGAGGTCGTTATTGAGGACACGGTCAGATAGCTACAGCACTATCAGCAAAAGGAACATGTATAGGGCGAGATGGACCTACTTTGGATGAGAGAGGATAGATGGCTTTGACAGTGGCTTCTCGCAGAACGGGGACGGTATCGGCAAACCCAGTGATCTATGTTCATTAGCACAAAGCTTACCCATGTCGTGACTGTGCTTACCAAATGTGGCCAGATCTTTTCAGTCACGGTAGGTTTATCCAGCTTCTCGATATATTTGTCCAGCCCCTCCAACAGCGCCATCCTTGTCCCTCTATCCGGTGATTGATACAGCCTGACGACAGGCTCCAGGACCATTTTACCATACTCCTGACCCGGCACACCTTTCCCCAGTGAGAGCACAAGGGGAAGCATGGCTGATGAAGGTGCAGAGGGGAGTGAAAGAGAATGCAAGAGGGATGGGAGGACACGATACGTCTGGAAGGGTATTGGGAGGGAGGAGCTCGAGTCTTTGATAACCCGCAGAAGAGAGAGTTTCTCCGACTCTGACAAGAGCTCAAAGTTGTCGAGACCCTTCATCACGCTGACGAGCGAGTTGCTCTCCAAGAACCCAGCTCCTTCGAGTTCTTCTACGAAGCCTGCTGTGGACAGTCGCGTCCGGGCATTTGGGTTCAGCATGCGCTTCCACAGAGGGAACAGTGAGCGTGGGATATTTCCAGATGAGGTTGGCGTGGGCTGGGAGGAGAGAGGTGGGAGAGGGGAGTTTGGGTTGTAGAGAGAGAAGAGGAGAGTAGCCAGGTAATAGATGTCGTGCTGGGCAGGGTCGGTACTGTGGCACATTAGCTCTGACCGCTCCAAGGTGTTGTACATGGACGCACTCTCTCAGAGCACCCCATCCGCCTTTCTTCACTTCAGGAGGTGCTCTTTCACCTAGATCTCCAGGTGCGAATCCTCCATAGCTCCACAAGACGCCATTTCCATCATCCTTGTTCGTCAGAAGCTCGAATCCGGAGAGTCTCCACTCGAGAGCAGGCGTGACAAAGATGGAGGAGGGCAGGATGTATGAATGATGCAGAGACAGAGGTGCAGTATTCAGGAAGGCGACAGCAGTCTGCAGCATGTCAGAAAAGCAGCAAACAATGGTAAGAACGTACTGATATTGACTTGACACCCCATCCAATCCACTCCTCCTTGCCCTTGGCTCTCGACGCTCCCGAGCCCGTCGCCAGTGCTCCCCCGGTATCCCAGTCTCTCAAAACAGCGGCCAAAGGTCTCACCCGCTCTGTGGCGATATAGACGTGGGTTTCTGTTTCTATAGAGTCGATGTACTTTATAATGTCGGGATGCCGGATAGTCCTGAGCTTTTTGAGGGCGTTCTTTGCCAGGTGGAATAGTGTCTTGCGGTCTTTGCCATTAAGAGGGGGAAGGGTAGAGTCGAATACAAAGAGGGTGAGGGGCGTGCCATCGTCCTGGGATTGTCAGCGTTGCCGATGCCAGCGAAACGTACCCTCTTGACGCCTTCACGGACGTCCCATATCGACGAGTATGAGTCTACACCCGCAATACGCTCCCCAATGCTAAACGGGAAGGTTACCCCCGTAGACTGGAGGACGGAGGAGGTAATGGACTTGAGATAGTTCATCGCTTGGGATGTATAGTTGCAAGCTGCGTCACGTCGCGAATGATAGAGAGGAAGCGCGCATCATTACGTAAGTACCCCACACTCGGATTTTTATGCATGGATCGTCGACTCTTTTTTTTTTTTGGATGGTAACCGCAATTCCCTGTCCACGGGCTGGATAAACACAAGCACACGCATCCCAGACAGTGCACCCCGCACGCCACAGCTCTCCACCTCTCTCCCGGCGTTCTCAGATCGGAGATCGAATCAGCACAAGCCAAGGTATGCCATGTCCTTCACTCGGCCCCCCGAATGCTCACCGTGTGCAGATGCTCGTCCTGCCTGGCTCTTCTGCCCTCACCCCCTCTCGAAGGGCTGCTCTTCTGAAGCTCTTCCAGGCCGCACTCCCCGCTATCACCTCCATCGACGCCGTCCACCTTCACCTCGTCAACCCTGCTAGCGACGCTGCCCAGGAGACACTTGCCGCCGACTCTTTCGAGCGCAGGACTCTCGATGCCTTGCTGGCGTACGGCGACAACGAGCAGCTTGAGACTACCAAGGCGTTCATTGACGCGGGATTGAAGGGCGACAACGTCTTTGCGCTCTACATTCTCCCTCGAGCCGGCACCATCTCCCCCTGGTCTTCCAAGGCTACCGACATTGCCAAGATCTGCCGTCTCTCCGAGCATGTCGCCCGTCTCGAGCGAGGTGCCCTTTACGTCTTCACCTCTAGCTCCAAGGTCGCCCTCCCCGATCTCGTGCACAACTTGCACTTTATCCACGACCGCATGACCCAGCTTGTGCACACTTCTTTGCCTGCTGCCGCCACTGTCTTCCCGCCTACCCCCCCCAACCCCAGCGCGCTGGTATCTGTGCCCATCATTGGCGCTTCCAACCCCCACGAGGTTCTGGGAGAAGCCAACGCGCGTTTGGGTCTCGCGCTCTCTGAAGCCGAAATTCCTTACCTTGTTGACTCTTTCTTGGCTGCCGGTCGAAACCCCACAGACGCCGAGCTCTTCATGTTTGCCCAGGTCAACTCTGAGCACTGCCGTCACAAGATCTTCAACGCCAAATGGACTATTGACGGTAAGGACAAGGACATTTCCTTGTTCGGCATGATCCGCAACACTGAAAAGTCTTGCAACTCTATCAACACTCTTTCGGCCTACGAGGACAACGCTGCCGTTATTGAGGGTTACGAGGCGCCTAGATTCGCTGTGGGAGGCGCTGAAAATGGTGTCTACACTTCCAAGCTCGAGAAAAACCCCATCCTCATCAAGGTTGAGACCCACAACCACCCCACTGCCGTATCTCCCTTCCCTGGTGCCGCCACTGGCTCTGGTGGCGAGATCCGTGACGAAGGCGCTACCGGCCGAGGCTCTCACCCCAAAGCTGGTCTTGCTGGCTACACCACCTCCGATCTGCTCATTCCTGGCTTTGAGCAGCCTTGGGAGTCGGACATTGGCAAGCCCGCCCACATCGCCTCTGCCCTCGACATCATGATCGAGGCTCCCTTGGGCGCTGCTTCTTTCAACAACGAGTTTGGCCGTCCCGCTCTCGGTGGTTACTTTAGGACCTTCTTGTTGCCCACCAAGGATGCGGAGGGCAAGGAGGAGTGGAGGGGTTACCACAAGCCCATTATGATTGCGGGTGGTTTGGGTAACGTGCGACCCCAGTTTGCGCGAAAGGACAAGATCACCCCCGGTGCCAAGGTCATCGTCCTCGGTGGTCCTGGTATGTTGATCGGTCTTGGTGGTGGTGCCGCCTCGTCCATGGCTTCCGGCGCTTCTTCCGCCGACCTCGACTTTGCTTCTGTCCAGCGAGAGAACCCCGAGATGGAGCGACGAGTCCAGCAAGTCATTGACGCTTGTATCTCTCTCGGTGACGGCGTCGGAAACCCCATCCAGTCCATCCACGATGTTGGCGCTGGTGGTCTTTCCAACGCTTTGCCCGAGTTGGTGCACGACTCTGATCTCGGTGCCGTCTTTGAGATCCGAGATGTCCTTGTCGACGACCCTTCGATGTCTCCCATGGAGATCTGGTGTAACGAGTCGCAAGAGCGATACGTCCTTGCCGTCGCCCCCGAAAACCTCGAGCTCTTTGAGAGCCTCGCCAAGCGGGAGCGATGTCCCTTCTCTGTCGTTGGTACCGCCACGGAAGAGGAGCGACTCGTCGTCACCGACAGGGTCTTGGGCGACAACGCTATCGACATCTCCATGTCTGTCCTCTTCGGCAAACCTCCCAAGATGCACCGAGAAGCCAAGACCATCAGCCCCGAGAGGGAGGCCTTCGACTCTGCGCTCTTCTCCTACTTGCCCAAGTACGAGGGTGCGCCCACGACTTCTCTCTACGCCGAAACGATCAACCGTGTCCTCCGACTCCCCGCTGTCGGCTCCAAATCCTTCCTCATCACTATCGGTGATCGATCCATCACTGGTCTTGTCACTAGGGACCAGATGGTTGGCCCTTGGCAGGTCCCTGTCGCCGATGTGGCCGTGACTAGGTCGAGCTACGGGTTTGACGTCCTTGTCGGTGAGGCTATGGCCATGGGTGAGCGAACTCCTCTCGCTCTCTTGTCTGCTGGTGCTTCCGCTAGGATGTCCATCGCCGAGTCTCTCACCAACCTTGCCGCCTCCAACATTCCCCTCCTCTCTTCCATCAAACTTTCCGCCAACTGGATGTCTGCCGCCAGTTACGAAGGCGAGGGTGCCCGTCTCTACGAAGCCGTACAGGCCGTCGGTATGGACCTTTGTCCCAAGCTTGGTGTCGGAGTGCCTGTGGGTAAGGACTCGATGTCGATGTCTATGAAGTGGGCTGGCCAGAAAGGCGAGAAGAAGGAGGTTACTGCGCCATTATCTCTCATCGTCACTGCCTTTGCCCCCGTCGAGGATGTGTCCAAGACTTGGACTCCCGTCCTCAGGTCCGACAAGGGCGAAACCGTGTTGGTCTTTATCGACCTCGCCCGGGGCAAGCAGAGGTTGGGTGGTTCCGCCGTCGCGCAGGTGTTCAAGCAGCTCGGCCACGAAGCGCCCGATGTGGAGGATGCTGCCGATATCAAGGCGTTCTGGCACGCGGTGCAGGCGCTCAAGAAGACCGGAGAGGTGTTGGCGTATCATGACCGATCGGATGGTGGTCTTTTCACCACTGTTGCGGAGATGGCTTTTGCCGGACGAGTGGGTGTGGAGATTAGCCTCGATGCTATTGCGTCCAAGGGTGATGCCGTCTCGGCTCTCTTCAATGAGGAGCTTGGTGCTGTTGTCCAAGTCCAGACTGCAGATCTCCCCGCCTTCACCGATGCCTTTGTCAAGGCCAGTTTCCCCACTCAACATCTCCACTCTATCGGTCGTGTCCTCGGCCGCGAGAACCAAGGGGTCAGCATCATTCACCAGGGTGAAGCTATCTACACTGGTACCCGAGGTCAGCTCCAGCAGACCTGGGCGGAGACGAGTTACAAGATGCAGTCTATCCGAGACGAGCCGACTGGCGCCAAGGAAGAGTTTGATGCCATCCTCGACGACAAGGAGGAAGGTCTCACTTTCAAGGTGCCTTTCGACTTTTTGCCGGACGTCAAGCGATCGGCCAATGCGCCTAAGGTGGCTATCCTCCGAGAACAGGGTGTCAACGGTCACATCGAAATGGCTTGGTCTTTCTACGAGGCTGGGTTCGAAGCCGTTGATGTGCACATGTCGGATATCATCTCTTCTCGTGTCTCCCTTGCCGACTTTAAGGGTCTCGCCGCTTGCGGTGGATTCTCCTACGGTGATGTCCTCGGTGCCGGTAACGGTTGGGCCAAGTCAGTCTTGCTCAATCCCCAGGCCCGAAAGGAGTTTGAGGCCTTCTTTGCCCGTGAAGACACATTCGCCTTGGGTGTCTGCAACGGTTGTCAATTCTTTGCGCAATTGAAGGAGATCATCCCTGGTGCCGAGAGCTGGCCTCTGTTCAAGACCAACCGCTCCGAGCGATTCGAGGGACGTGTCGTCAACTGTAAGGTCTCTCCCGAGGCCGCGCAGAGCAACATCTTCTTCCGAGACATGGCCGACGCCATCATCCCCATCGCTATCGCCCACGGTGAAGGCCGAGCTTCCTTTGACACCACCGGTTCCCTCTCCGCGCTCAACTCTTCCAACCTTGTTCCCGTCCGATACTCTACTGCCACTGGCGCCACCGCCTCTGCCTACCCTGCCAACCCTAACGGTGGACCTGAAGGTATTGCGGGTGTCTCGACGCCTAATGGGAGGGTGTTGGCTGTGATGCCTCACCCGGAGCGAGTCGTCGCGAGGGAGAGTTACTCGTGGTTCCCCGATGGTGAGGGAGAACCATGGAAGGGGAAGGGCCCTTGGTTCAGGCTGTTCCAGAACGCGTACAAGTTTGCCGTTGAGGGGAAATGGTGAGTTGCCTGGTAATCAGACTAGTGTTTCCGTGCTGACATGAGTCAGAGCGAAGATCTGAGAGAGTAACGCGGCTGGATGCGAGTAGTGGATGAAAGTTGTTCATGTGTCATAAAAGTGAGTGTCTTTGGCGTGTCGTATACCAGCACAGCTGACGACTGAATCAGAATCTGGTCTCGCGAGGATGTGCATAGAAGTAATTGCTGTTGGATGTAGAGAGCTTCGTCGTGTGAAAAACAAGATATCATTGGTTTTGGTCTTTAAATGCATCTGCTTTGGAATTGATTCAAGTAACGGATCGCAAACAACATCGCCTACATGCCTATCATAATGTCTAATGTCCATGATGACCGTGTCTTTCTCAAAATATCAACGCTCTAGAAAAGAAGGCCCGCTTCCTCCGCCCTAGCCTTGTGCACATCGTAAATGTTGGGCTCCTTCTTCTTCTGCTTGGGCTTCAAACCCATCTTTGCTCGCGCCGCATTCTTGGCCTCCTCCCTCCTTTCCTTATCCTTCTTCTCCTTCTGCGCGGGGGTAAGAGGGATATCGTTCTCCTTCACGCCAACGCCGCCAATGCTGGCACCTCGAAGTCGAATACGGCCATCTTTGAGGTGTTCAGTGATGACGGGGGAAGCGGCAGGTCGGTACTTGAACTCGTCCGAGTATCTAAACGCTCCCGCTTCGACTCAGCTGTCGTCCCATCGGTGAGAGAAGAGAGATGACTCACCGGCTAGCATAGATGATTTCAGGCTTCTTGTTCCTTCCCCTCCTGCCGAGCCAGATACTGGCCCACATCATGGCGATAAGTCCCACAATCAGGAGAGCGCGCTTCCACCATGCTACGGGAGGGCGTTCGAAGCGGGCTTCAAAGTGGGCGAGACGCTCGCGTTCTTGCTCTGTCTGGGGACGGACGGGCTGGCGCGCGCGAGGGGGGAAGGCGTGGGTGTTGGCGTTCGAGGAGGTGGAGGATCCGCTGGAGGACTCTGAGGAGCGGGAGGGGATGGGCTCGTAGGGGTTGGACATTCTGGGCGTTGGAAAGAAAAGAGCCAAAAAAGAAGAAACGCGTGGAAAGCGGCGATGGCGGGTCTTATTCGCGTGTCCCATTTACTCGCGGCTATGGTCGGTGCCCCGAGCTATGGTATGCAGATGGTAAATAGCAAGTCCAATTCTCTTTCAGAGCTCTGGCCCTGGAGTCAACAGCCATGAAGGGGTTCGCAGTAGTCCTTCCGGACCACAGGATGGCCAGAGAAGGCACACGTTGAGATTTAACTTGAGCAAGTAGCAGTGACACTACACTTTCGGACTGAGTGATGTAGCGATCTGCGATTGCGGCCTACACGCATAAGATCTGAGACGAAGCCTTATGACACATGTTACAGTACGAGTACATGTCGATGTACATCCTCTACAAGCACTCCCGACCCGCCACTTCAACGCAACGCATGGCCTACTGCCCTCTTCCTTCCTTCGAGCCCCTTCCCGTTGGTGTTTCCAGCGCCTGCACTCTTCACGGCTCTCTTCATAAACCTGTTCATCGACGCCTTCCCGCCAGGTGCTGTAGTAGCTTTTGATTTCGCTGGAAGAACTGGGGGAAGGGCATCGGAGGAGGTAAGGGTGGGCGCAAGAAGATGCAGGGTGGTTTTTTCGCTGGCAGATTGTCAGTATCGTTGTGCGATCAAGATTCACGAAGACTCACGAAACCTTTTTGCTGGTCACCTCCTTCGCCACCTTTCTCTTCTTCCTTCTCCTGCTTTCCTCCTTGCCACCAGCCGCTTTCTTAGCAGCGGCTTCCTTCTCCCGCTCCTTCTTCTCAACCTCAGCTTGAGCAGCCGCTTGCAGCACGGATTTGGAGAGAGGTTTGGCTGTGGGGTGAAGGTCGTACGCTGCTTCCTCGTCCTCCTCTTCCTCGCTCTCTTCACTCTCCTCTTCTGATTCAGACTCTTCGGCAGCCTTCCTCTTGGGCACCTTCTCTTTTGCCGCCGCCTTGGAGGATGACGGAGCAGGTCCGGCCCGCTTCTCAGCTGCCTCCATCATCTTTTGCATTTGCCCCCACCGGGCCTTGCTCGATGCGTCAATCTTGATATTTGACAGATTTTCCGAAACGTCCGTGTCGTACCCTTCCTCCTCCTCCCCTCCTTCTTCTTCCTCCTCACCTTCAGAGTCGGTGTGGAAAGACTGCTGATCGTCGCCAGAGACATCATCGCCCGAATCAGGATCCGAGTCTTCTTCAGAGTCACCAGCTTGTGCCATGGCAGCCTCCATTCTCCGTCTCAGTCTCTTGGTCTCTTCGTCCTCATCTTCATCATCATCTTCGTCTTCACTCTCGCTTTCAGAAACAGGAGCAGGCTGTTTGCCCTTTCCTTTCTTGGCAGGCTGAGGTTTGGGCTGGGCCTTGAGTTTGGCAGCGGCGATGGCGTCGGCACGGGCTTTGGCAGCTTTGGCTTTCGACAGACGTTCCCTAAATTCACAGTCAGCTTTAAACATCTATACCACGACGTTGAAGCAGTCTTTCAGAAGATTCTGATCACTTACAAAGCTTCTTTCTCGGCCTTCTCCCTCTCTTGAGCTTGAGCAGCGCTCATGCCCACAGCTTCCGGCGCATCATCATCGCTCTCATCGCCCTCTTCCTCATCACTCTCTTCCTCATCTTCTCCACGTCTAGATATTAAGCCTTGGGGGTCAACGTCTTCATGATCTTGGTCGAGCATCTCTTCATCGGAAGAAGGAGCATCGTCGAAAGTGATTTTCTTGCCTGCTGAAGGCTGGATGGCGGTGGGTGCGGTGGATGTCTTTTTCGCCATTTTGTAGAGCCTTCCAATGTGTTGCGGAGAGGCCAAGGATGGTGGTGGATGGTTGTCGAAAGTGATCGCAAAGAATATGGTCTTGGATGAAGAGTTGTCTGCGACGAGACTTGTCGAGGTCGAAGATGATTGAAATTTCTATGTCCGGCCAGGGACCAGATTTGTCCGGACCCGCTCATCTCATCTTACCGGACATCTCCACCTGCCGTTTCAGAACCTCTCGAAGCTGCATCGAGTCTCCTCCACATACTTCATTCTATCAATCATACATGCCCCCTTCATGAAATGCCGTATGTATACAATATATATGGGTAACTACAACCGACTACACTCAATCCCTCGATCTCTTTGACGCCCTTCTTTCATGTTCATCACTGCTCCGACCCGAAAGATTACGCGCCCCCAAGCTATCAAAAGTATTGTCAGCGAGACTGTGTGAAAAGTTGAACTAGTCTGAGCGCACCCACTTCCTCCCAGACGTAAAAGCTCCTCCCAGATTCCCAACATTCTGCAGATTCGACAAAAAGCCGCTCACCCCTCCATCTTGCATCCCTCCAAGTCTTTCCCCACCTCCCAGTCCCTCCCATCCATGTTCCCCACCTCTGCCGCTCCCGAACCCGCCCAAAATCTTCTCCCTGGATGCCGCGCCAGCGAAACCGCCAGAGGCCTTTTCGTGCGCGAGTTCAGCTTGGACATTGCGGTAAGCTTCGTTCCTGTGGATCTTGTAGGCAAAGTTGTGGGAGGCCTCGTCGGATGAAGCGGTGCGGAGAGTGTTGATCTGGTTGTCGAGGGCAGAGAGGAGGGTTTGGGCGGTTTGGCACCTGAGTGGCGTCAGCCTCGTACACATTTAAAATTGTGGGTAACTTACCAGTTGGCCAAGCCTTGTTGTAGCTGTTCAAGGTCTTCCGGGCGCACATCTCTGCCAGAGACAGAATCGATGTGGAGTACCTTTTGATCGTGATGGAGCTTGCCGGTGAGCAATCCCGCGTAGATGGTGTCGATGACGGTATCCTCGACTTGGCGGATGGATTCGAGTTGAAGCGCGGATGAAATGTGGTCGTAGCTGAGAGACTGTAATTCTTGGTCAGTTCTTTGTTCAAGGCCATCAAGTTTGACTCACGCGATGATGTAAAGCAAGAGAGACAAGGGTTAATTGCTTGAGCTTGTGAATATGAGCTTCTTTGAGCTCGGGGAATGAAGACTTGTTCTCTGTGTCTGCGTAAGTGGCATATTCAATGATGTCCAAAGATAGTGTCTCACTCTCATAGTCTGACAATGTTCCGTAGGCAAACAATCGCAACAGCTCGATATGACCTTTATATGAAGGCTCGGCAGCAAGCTGTACGCTTTGGTATTAGCAATGTTCCTCTTTGTAGCCCAAAGTACAGTCCCACTCACATGCTGAACATTGGGGGCATCCAGAAGTTCACCAAAGACATAAACACCGGGCTAAGTGACATCAGCATGACTCTCTCGCGCGGCTCGGGCGGGGACATACAGCTGCGGTCGCGTCCAGAATGATTTTGGCGGCTGCAGCGCCTTTTGTTGATCTCACGAGAATGAGGAATGGTTCCAAGGCAGCTGCCGGGTCGGACATGCTGACGTTTCCGTGGGTTGTGATATGACTGCAAGCATATAACGCTCGAAAGCGACGACGATGTTATGAGCGCGGACGGCATCCTCGATTACGTAATTAAGGAGGTGCCACCATTTGATCCCGTCCCTTTTCGCAAAACTTTATCCGCTCCTTCTGCTTTCCCACACTAAGTGCCCCTCACATAGCCATCCTCCACCTCCGACGTCCACCCAGTCACTCAACATGGATGCCCACGAGCCACTCCACCTCGCCCAGGCGGTCAATGACATGCCCTTCATGGACGAGGACCTCAGCGACACCCAGCACTTCTTCCAGTCTCCGCCACCCGAGGACGAGGCCGACGCCCACCATCAACAGCAACAGCACGACCTCCCAGAGGTCCCCGGCTCGGGGCTCGACGAGAACAGGCCTCTGACGCAGGAAGAGATCAATGCTGCGATCAAACAGTCGATTTTGAAGGCGCCGGAGCATGTGAGGGACGAGATGAATCATGAGAACAATCTGGGCGACGGGTCAGAGCTCGTAACGTCATCAGGTATCGAGGCAGACGCCCAACACCATGAACCTACACCCACTCTCAACTCTTCTATTCCTACCGGACATGATTCCAACGACGTCTCTGTATCCGGGCCAAGCGGGCTTGACCCCTTGGGCTCGGAACACAACCCCATCTACAACCCCACTGTCTACATGGCCCCGTTCTCCAAGCCTGAACGTAGCCAGGAGGATACGCCTCAGCCGGCATACTATGTCTTTGACAATAGACAAGCGTTTAACGCGTGGCTGGACGGCGAAGGGAGCTGGTGCCATTTCGTGCAGAGGCGAAGTACGACTCCGGACAAGAGGTCTCAGGAGAGATTGCAGACCAGGATTGCCAAGCATAACAAGAAGCTTGAAGGTGAGCCACTCGAGCTGTTATTTGTTTCCCTTCTGACCATATCCCTAGGAATGAGCGAAGAAGAACGTAAACTCGCACTTCCACTCAAGACTCGTCGACGTAACCGCGTCTCCCCTGTCGCCGAAAAGGTGACTTTTACCTGTCACCATGCCGGTACCTACAATTCTCAACACTCCTCAAACCTCCCCAAAGAGAAGCTGAGGATGAACACCAAGAAGAGTGTCAAGTGTGCTTGTCCGAGTAGGATTGTGTTGAGCGAGATGCAAGCTGGAGATTGCAGGGTGTGCTACCACTGGAAGCATGAGGGGCATGGTGAGTCTCTGCCTCAATGTCATGGATCGTTTGCTGACACTCTGTCAGACCCATTCACGGAAGGCGATCTCGATGGAGGAAGGATGAATAAGGCTATCGATGAGTGGATGGTCGCTCGGATCAACGAAGGCAAGACCCCAGAGGAGATCCGCCGATTGCTTGACATGGACGAAGACGCAAAGAAAGCCGTACGTATATTTGTCATAAAATCGTGTCCAATCGCTGACCTGTCATAGTACCTCGACAAAGTAGCCGCCGACCCCTCCCAGATTGATCCCAACCTCCCGCCCCCTGTCGCCCTTGTTCGCGAGACCAAGTTCCGCTACTCCGAAATCTACAATCGCTTCCGCAAATTGAAGGGACCTATCAAAGAGACAAAGCATCAAAAGGCTGCTACCGCTTCCGGCTCCAAGAAGGCGGGCAAGGGCAAACGCAAGGCTGGTGACCTGGACGCCATCCCTTCGCCCACGCCTACTTCCGACGGCCCCGAGCTTCTGGGTGATTCATCCAAGCGAGCTCGTGTGGACGGGCCCGACCCCAATATGTTTATCGACCCTTCCCTCCAATCTCCCAATTCCCTCGCCCGAGCGGAAGCGGCCGCAGAGCATACCCAGACCGACGCGCTCGACGCCATCTCCCACGCTGCCAATGCTGTCGCAGACACCGACCATCATCATCACCTCCACCACATTCCCTCGCTCGACGAACATGGTCATGAGCACGGTCATAGCCATGGAGAGGGCGATAATGAAGATGAGTACGCCTCCCTCGCCGCGCCTCATGAGTCTCTTGCCCGCGCCCTACTTTCTCTCCCCGGCGCGGGCAACAGCTCGAACCATCCCTCCACCATGGGTACTGCTGCCACTGCCGCTGGCAATGACAACCCCGATGGCAACCTCCATTCGACAGGTGCTGGCACTGGTATCGGTGTTGACCTTGGACATGGCCCAGCCTTGGGCCATGGGCACGACGCACACCACCATGGTCAGGCGCAGGGTCAGAAGGATGAAGATCTTGAGGCGATGACTCTGGAAGAAGCTATGAGCTTTGAAGAGGCGATGAGGAGATTGGCGGGTGAGGTTGCTGGTGTTGGTGAGGAAGGGGAAGGGGAAGGAGGGATGGAGATGGGAATGGAGATGTAAGGGATCGAGGATTCATATCGGAAGAAGTGAAAGCTTGATGACCGTCGAGTAGTATTCACGAATGATTATGCTCCTTCTATTATTGTACAGTAGAAGTACTTTTCCGTCCGTCACTCATGGAGGACTCAATATTTACGTTGTTTGTTCAATATATGTACAATATTCAAATATCGCGACTCTCTGTTTAGAGTTTGACCCAATGCAAAGCCAACAGGTCATGCATGCGGCGGCAGGTTGTTCATGTCAGAGATGCAATTATCGAATATCGTGGTATCAGTCTGACGTCCAGACGTGAAGGCTGACCAAACTATCGGAAGAAAGAGAATAATGAGGTGCAGGGAACGGATGATGCATGATAACATTACATCCAATATGATACTGAATGAAAAATATGGCGCAACATGAAGAGATGATGATGCGGTGAATTTGGTATGAATGTAGGAATCCGTGTATGAATGAGATCACTATCTAATCTACCGATCTTGACACGCCGACCTATAGGAAACAAATGGAATAAAATGAACAAGCCAAAGAAGAAGGAAAAGAGAAATAGAGACCCAAACACAATATTTTCAAAATTGATGCTCAAGTCGCAGACTATACTTTTTTTGTGCAGAGTGCTCTGCGTTCGTACGGCCAACATCGTCTCATAAAAGAATCATCGTCGTCTCAAAATCATTACAAAAACAGTAGGAGCGACAAGCAAAAGGGTAGGACAAGCTATACAAGGGAAAGACATCAATTGAGGAGATTCTTCAAGCCCGTTTTGGCCTTGCTTTCCACTGCCGTCGAGGGAAAAGACATGTCTACACCCTTCCTCCTGTCCTTCTCTTTATTTGACCCCACTCCCGCCGATCGATGGGACTTGTCCTTCTCACTGTCGCGACTGGTCTCCACAGGCTTCAGCCGTTCGCTTGAATCCTGGGTGGATGCGCCCGTCCTGAACCCGGGCGGGGGCACCGAGACGGCTAAGCCCGTGCCCGATCCGAATGGCGGAGGGTTGATAGGCACTCTTGGGCCCGCCGAAAGAGAGCCAGCAACCATGCCGGAATGATGGGTATGAGGAGGAAGAGGTGGTGGATAGGCCGTCATGTATGCTTCCCGTTCTCGGATACTGTCTGAAGTTGAAGGACGCGGGAGGTGGTGCGTCTCGGGGTACATGGTGTTGAGAGGCGACGTTCGAGGGGTAATGTGTTGGCCAGAGGGAAGAGACGAGGGCCGCTGGCCGGAAGGGAGGATATTGGCACTGGATTGTGACGTTTGAGGAAGCCGGGGGTCGGCGACGGCTGATCGATGAGAGGCGAATGGAGGAGGCGTTTCAACTAGGATCAAAATCAGTACGCAGTTGAACGACACAAAGACAAAACTAACAGCCAAATCTTCCCCTCTCTCTTTCCCGTTCTCGACCCTCTCTCTCTTCACTTCGTCCGCCACCGCCGCTCGCCATGATAGCCAAGGCATCTGACGCCATGAATGCTTCATACTTTTGACGCATGTCGGCGTTCTGTCGGCTCAGAGTATCTTGCAAAGCACGCAGCTCGGGTGAATCTACAATGTTTCATCAGCATACTTCCAAAGCAGAGATGATGGCACGCACGTTGTTCGCCAGCAGCCCACCCCACCATCTGCAACAAATAACTTGTAAAGTCCAAATTATTCCTCACGTGCTCAATCCTATCATTGTTGAGTACGTCGGTGAGTCTCTGCACCTTGTCCTCCAACAGCATCACTTGCGACACAAGCGTCTCCACCATCTGCGACGGATGCCCGTACACAGGAGGCTCGGCATACCCAGGCGGCATATACCTTCCGGCGGATAACGGAGGCCGGCTCGGATCAGGGTGATACCGAACGGGGACCTGATTATCGGGCGGCGGCATACGCTGCGAGGCGCCAGGATGTCGGGGATCCCAAGCGGGCGCCCCGCGGGAAGGCGGTCTATCGAGCTTGGGAGGAGCGAGCGGAGCATCGGTATAGGGGTAGAGAGGGGCGCGTGAGGCAGCGTTGGGTGATGGCACGTGGTGATGAGGGTGGTAGCCAGCCTGGCCAACATCTCTCATCCAACCGGCCACAGCCTTGGGCACCTCGGGTCCTGAATCATCGGTGGGAGACGCCAAAGGAGCTCCCTCGGCCGCGCTGGGCCGCGAGGATTTCCGCTTGATACTGGGGAGAAGATGCTGCTCGCCGCGGCGGAAAAGGTTGTGTCGGAATTCCCAAGCTTGAGGATCGGTGGAAGTGGAGTAGATGTCGTTCACCTGTGGTATTCAGGATTAGATAACGACATTTGGCGCTACGGGAGGCGGGAGACGGAGAAATGAACGAACCTTGTTAAATCTGGCGGCATAGAAAAGGAAGAAGATGAAAGTGTCGTAAGCGAAACTATTCGGTATGCAATTTCTCGGCATCGTTGCGAACTCCGCCTGGGCGAAACCCCGCCCGTGTTCCCAGCAAGCGCCCCACTTACGAATACATGTTTAGTTGACGGACAAAACTTTGCCAATTGTTGTGCTTGAAGAATCTCGGTAAAACAATTCTGTGGGGAGACAACGTTAGTAGAGTCCCACGCGAGAAAGACGCCGACTGACTTGGAGAATTCGGTTGGATTGGGCACTGTAAACGTTGTGCCCTCGGCCGACCACGCTATCAAACCCGTCTCGGCGATATCCTCATCCTCCAACATAGAGTACAGCTTGCCGACAAACGCCGCCTGAGTCTTTGGGGGAGGGTTGACGAGCGGCTGACCCGTTGAAAGGTTGAAGCTCGCCTGGGGGCTAGAGTGCCGCGAAGGAGGGTTGGGGTTGACATGTTGGCGACTGGCGATGGACGATTTGGAGGTGGAAGCGTTGGAATGCAAGCCCGTAGATGCCGACGTTCTGTCGCTGTGTATATCACTATCCCCAGCCGGCCACGTCGACGGGAATGACGGCTGCCGGCGATGTTTGGGACGGGCAGTAGAGTGGTTTGAGGCAGAACCATTGAACGACCGCATTGAAGGCCTCTCCTGGCCTGAAAGCTCGTCGCCGCCTGCAGAACTCGCGGGAGAGGACATTGTCGAGGCAGTCTGGGGAAATTTTGAAGAAGTACCGGTGTTGGGACCATCTCCGTCGGTATGAGCATTCGTTTGCGAAGACGACCGCAGCCCGTCGTGGGAAAAGCCGTGCTCTTGCTTCTGCTTCTTTTCTGAATCGTGGCCCGACCGAAGCGACAAACGACGTTTCGATGGCGTCTCGCTGGGCCGACTTTGCTCGAGCGATTGTGACATAGTCGAGGGGAGGACGGAAGGAAGTGTTTGGTGAGACGCTTTCGGATGATGACTAAAGAAGCTCTCAGCCAGTCGTTCAAGGTAATGAAGATCACTCACAATGTATGAGAACAACTTCCTTTCGTCTCAAAGTATGGTGTTGCCGGATGTCAGACGTTGTCGATCTGAGCTTGCGAGAGTGCTGTTCAATGACTGTGCTGCGCTTTCGCCATCAGCCATCGCACCCAGCAGGACCACCAAAGACGATACACAAAGGCATCCAACAATGACGATTGAGCAACTCACCAACTTTATAATATATAGTTTGACGAATCGACGAAAGAAGAGATAGAAGTATATTGGAACAATGCGAGATGTGTTGAAATGCTGTTTACCGAGTTGAAAGATAGCGGTCTGGGCGGACACGATCGAGTCCACGTTGGTTTCGATTCAGAGGCCGGTTCGGACGGGTGTATGGATGCGTCGGGTGGTGGTTAGGGTTGTGCTTAATCCTTGAGGCGTGATCTGTGCGGGAGCAAAACCTCGCTCAGCATGCTGGACACCACCGACGGATTGGGCTTTCGGACTACCCGTGATTGGACACACCTTCGAGTTACAGAAATGGTTCAATTCTCCTCGCCGAGGACTTCCCGCGCGCCTTGTCGACAGTGTCGTGAAAGTGTTCTACAATGAGTGATACAAGACGTTGTCGCAGCGACTGTCGTATGCGCGTCTCAAACTAAGACAGGCAGGTGGTGCACGCCTAGGCTGCGGCCGAGGGGAGCGTTTCTACAAAGGCGTGTCCCGTTAGGAACCCGTTCGGAAGGATATCATGACAAAGACGCTGGAAAAGGAACGAACCAGAAACAACAACGTCAAAGCTGAAAGCTCGAGCACGCACACCTTCACTTGAAACTGACGAGTTCCTGCTTTGGTTGAGTGTCGAGCGCCACCCTCGCTTGTGTTATTCGGTCGCTAGGTAGTTGTCGTGTGGTCGACCTGTTCGCGAGTTACACAGGAACCGAGTCGCGGGCGAGCCTTGCAAGGCGATGCTTTCTTTGGTGAGAGAGAGTAGATGCGGCGATGGGGGCGTAGAAGGATATGATCAAACGAGGCTGACTCGCTGTGCCGAGAGTGGGGGGATGGCGGGTCAAGGAACAAGTATAGCAGGGGCGGCCTGTGCTTGCTTGCGAAAGGTGAAGTTACAAGCTCTGCTTTGATCCAGGCAGCTTGGACTGTTTCGCTCTACCCGGGCCAGGGAAGACTGAAGGGTACTGGCGCTGTCGGCGAGAGTCGTCTGGGCAGTTGGCGAGTTGCCGAGAGGACGCTAACAGTGGCACTTCCGTCGAGCTTCGGTATACGAAAGGAGGGCAAGTCCGGGATATCGTCCCTGAGATGATTTACGCCTCGCGATTCCAGTAGGAAGGGACGAAAAGAGGATCGAGACGTGTGGAAATCTTTGCTCAACGCTGGACGCCGCGAGTGACCTGCCGAGAAGGAAAGAAGAGCTTCTCCGCGAGTGATGTCGAAATCTGGAGAGCGGACGGCTTGGTGAGTTTCTGTGGACCGGGTTCTCGCTGAGGTGCTAGTCGCTGCCCTTCCTTCTCGTTCGGATCAGATGGGTGTGTATGGGAGTGTGGCAGTGAGCGGCGGGGTTGATCGAAAGCGCGTGGGGAGGGAGAGGAGGGTAAGGGAAAAGGCGTGTTCCATCAGCTCATGCCAGGGCAACAAAGCGAATATCCCGAAAGTACTCACCTTGTTACAGAGTGCAATTGTGCAGGCGCCGGCGGTATAGAGGCTCTCTTTGCAAGCCCTCAAGATGGCGGTATTGGCACGGGAAGATGGAAGAGAAAAGAAACAGGCTGATTAATCCCCAAGTAACGATAGTGGTTAGTCGGTTTGTAGTCGGTAATATTGCTCTCGCCTGGTTACGCTTACTCTACATATCACCTTCGCTCCACGCACTTTTCCAGAATTTCCAGCCTAACGGTACGGGCGTATCTCAAGGATCAAAAAAGACCCGTGCCGACCCGAAGTCGCGGATTACGAGTTCTTAGAAATTCTGAGGAGGTTACAGGAGCAAAAGTAGGGCCATCAGGGTGTCGGGTCCCAGTTAGACCCTGGGTCGTGCCAGACGCGCTCCGCGCGCTCATCGCCGAATTCACAATCACCCCGAGTCATGTATTGCTTGCATAGCTTGCATAGTACCTGGCCCCGAAGAGCGGTGGGTGTTGGATGCACATGGCCCCCATCTCGCGAGGTGAGACTCCAACGGTTGGTGCGGACACCTGGCGGGCTTGATGTGTCTCCGCAAATCATGTTCCTCGCATGCCGTGGTTTATTATGGAAGCCATGAGGGCCATGAGCCTCCCGAAGAACTCAACCGTGTACATATAATAAGCACTGCACGATAGAACGGTATCCAAACTTCTAGGTTGCCCGCTGCACCCGCCGTGCGTTCTTTCGCTGATATTCCTGCTCTATGTAATTCTATAAAAGCCCATGGCCCAGAATGTACACAGGAAGCTGCAGGAAGAACGGCGTTGACGTACTCTTCAAGGCACAAAACACCTCGAGCACAACCTCGATGATGTCGCCGTAATCACCATCTTCCCTTCCTTTCTGTAGACGGCCGACGAAATGCTCGGGCACTATTTCATCTTGTCCGTGGGCCGTGGTGGGGAGGGGGGGGGGGGGGCAGCTACAGGCTGCAGGCCCTGCAGGATCCCCACCCGATCTCAGACCCAGCGGCCCCGGGCTCAGCTCGGCGGCATGGGGAGTCGACGAGAAGAGGCCCCTCAATTCTAGCTCCTGGCGGCTGGCGGCCCCGGCGGCCTCTCACCCCTTCACGCAGCAAGTGCAGCAAGACAAGAGGGCGAGGGGAGGGAGTACATACCTTTCACGTTATGATTTCTGGTGTTTCCTGACTGGAACAATCCGTCATCTTTGCCGTGTTCCATTCCTTCCTTGCCCTTCCGCGCGATCCGCGTCGCACTCCTCTGCATGACGGATCGCTGGAGCACAACGAGAGAAAAGAGGCGCAGACGGACGAATTAAAAGGAGAATTTCTCGCCGACATGCATGTATCCTGCAGGGTTTTTTGACACCTCCTGAAACAGGTGCAAGCCCCCCAAAAAAAAAAAAAACAGAAAGCCGAGGTGCTGGGCCTGAACTATATCGCTGTTCATTCAGCTGTACATACATTCTGTAAATAGCGGCCTGCATTGCCTGCTGAGGTTGCCAAAAAAACGCCTTCCTAAAGGTAAACTCTGTCCCCTTTTGATTCCTTCGTTTTAATTCTCACCTTCCATGGCGTCCAGGGTTGGGTGAGACAAGTCGCGCGCGACGCGCGCGATCACTCGCTTTGCGAATATATTAATACTTGTGATCGTTTCTTTTTGATGTCTTACCGTGTTTGACGTGCCCACTTTCTCTTGTTAGTCTCTCCGTCGGTGCAAGAACCTGTTTCACATATTCTTTTCTCTTTCTTGTCCATTTTTCTTGTCTATGCTCCCGAACTCGGTGACTTTACAGCGCCACTTTTCTTGCAATCAGCCGATCGCTCTTCTCATTATCCCCACATACCATTCGCCAGTCGCCGGCCTCGTCGGTAATAATGTCTCACATAACGCATTCACCTTTCACCATCATTATGTAGCTTCCATCACCATGATGTTAGTGCAACAATTGCACTGCCTCTGGCCAGTGGCCGCTGGCCGGTCACATGATTTGTACAGCACTGCGCTGGGTATACTCTGATCCCGTCACATTCTATGTACTAATAGATTTGATCATCCTATGTACTACGGAGTACTACGGCTTTCTACATGAATCAATGGCCTAATGAATGCCTTGTTACCATTACATAGGCAACCTGGTGGGCCATTGGTACATATTCAGCTCCAACTCATCATCCAACATAGCTTGCCCTTCAGATCAATAATGTGGCATGGGAACGGGGGCGAAAGCCTTGGGGACGGGGCCATGTGAGAAAGAGCTACATAGCGGCAAAAGGAGGTGGGGATTGGGGACTGGGGACTAGTGGAGAGTGGCAGGGGCAGGGCACAGCAGAGGGCAGATGGCGGGGAAGATGGGGGGGGCGTCGAAGGGGGAGTGGAAATAGGTGTGCCTCATCCAACTCCGAGGTATATTGGTCCTCGGTCTCCTCGGGCTCCTGTCATGCCGAACAAACAAGCGATTCGCGCTGGCGATTTCGTGATTGACGATGTGCCGCGCGAAACGGCAGCGCGATGCGCAGCTATCCATATCTCTATCATGAGATATCAATTAAGTGTGGATCAAGATGACAATTGACTGAGACCCGTTGGCCTGTCAATTGAGGCCGTCATCCGCACATTCGTCACTCGTCATCAGCACATTCGTCAATCCATCATGCCGCGGTATGGAAGACCGAGACGTTGAGCTTTGAGTGGAGCGGGGTATGTCTTGGAATATTGCGGTGTGGTCTGCAGCCTGCAGCGTGCAGCCGAAGAGCATGTCATCAAGATCAGGTTTCCGAGTTTTCGATCTCAAGTTTCGACCTTGCGTAGAAAAGTTACATCTAATTCGCAGGCCTTCATGATCTATTAACTGGTCCAAAAGAGTAGAAGGATAAAAAGGTGACAACAACATGAAAGTAAAATCTCTCTTCTGCTGTGCTTATTCAAGTTATCCACAAGGCCACAAGTATTGCTTGTACGTGTACCTGTACTTTCATGGATCGCAGGATGACGTGAGATGGCAAGGCTTTCTTGAACCACTGATCAACTTTCTGATGGAAACATCCCTGCTACTTCTGTCTTCTCTGT